TGTTTTATGTCCTCAGCTTTAAGCTATTTTCCACCACTGCTTTTGAATGTTTAAGCACATGTGAATATAACAAAGTGTGCACTGGGCACTAAAGTTCTACCCATATGTTATTGCTTACTATGTAAGCAATAATGTGTGTGCCTGACTGTGTGTATGCTAACACTTTTTTGCATGTTGTGTGTTAGATCTCTTACATAACAGTCGACTAATGGGAATAATTCCGTCAGCAAAAGCAAAATGTACAGTAGAAAACACTCTTGCATGTGCAAAAATACCCATCTTGTTTGTTAGAGTAAAAATGTACAGAGTTTTCAAAATATAAATACAGACATAAACTGGTTCTAATACATGTCTTTTTTCTAAAAACGGAAACAAGCCTTTCAAAAGATCCATATGCATGTCTCAAGGAACCAAACCAGGATTGAGGTGCTGGAAACAGTACTAAAAGCTGAAAAGGTATATTGAAATCAAAAAGTTTTACAGGTTGAAACTGTGAGATTCTAGAGTGGGGTCAGTGACAGGGGCAGGCAGGTGATTTCTTCAAACACTAAGCTCCACAGCTGTCTCATCATCAATGTCTCTTTTAGAAACTAAGGGCAAAAAGCATCTGTACAGAAGAGAGTGACGTAAGTTCAGGACAAAACAGATTCAAAAACAGTTAAAAACAGAGAGGAAACAGGAAGGGTCTCCCACAGGACTGGAACAAAATATTTCTAGCTGGGAAACATCAAATGAGTTTTGAATCATCGGGTTTCTGGGCCGTTTTAGATGTACAATCATAGGATTAATGATAGGTGCCATGAAGATCATGGAATTATGGGTGTATTCCACCCAAGACAGTTTTGAGCTCCAGGTTGTTTAATTAGATGAAACAGTATATTGTGGGTTGCCTCCAACTCCTAATTGGTCCTTTCAGTTTTTGTTTAAGTCTGGAGATAGAAGAGAAGCAGAAGCTGGAGGTGAATTGAGGTGAATCTTTTGAAAGTTTACTCTTCGGCCGCTCCACTTCCACCGTTTTTTTTGGCAATATTATCCACACCCACCGCTGCGCTATGAAGTCTCGGATATGTTGGTCATGAAGTCTACATGTTACACCCCTGTAAAAAGGGGGAAAAGAATCACAAGAGTGATTATGACTTGCGTCTCTCATGCAGTTGTTTATTGCAGTGAAAATGAGCAGAAACGTTTCACATTCTGTACTGCTAAATGTCACATGGTGGAAGAAAAACACTAAATAATAAGCCGAAATACTGAAGTGCTTACTATACATATACTTGAGTAGGTTTCCTAATAAAATGGCTGACAATAGCGGCGTTTTTAAGCTCCTGCCGTTACCTTAATGGCCATTACACAGTACAAAACTGAGGCTCAAAACCGCCACGTACATGTGCACAAAACTGTAATATAATGTTTCTAAAGCTTACAAAACAATGAAGGGTTACCTTTTAAATATCTTAGCAGTGTACACATTGGAAATATATCAACTTTTAAACACCTTTACCTGAAAACAGGGGGAAAAGAATCACAAGAGTGATTATGACTTTTGTCTCTCATGCAGTCGTTTATTGCAGTGAGGAGAACGCGCGAAAGCCCCTTAGTGGAGAATAGAGACAATACTAATCGATCCCAGAAAAGGCTTACTAGCCAATCAGAGATGTATAGTTTGTTGTTCTCTTAAGTAACATGAAAGCCATTAATATAACATGAAAAATAATAAACTCTTAACCATTTTCTTACCATATTTATATTATTTTCCATTTTGAGCAGCCTTTGAATTGGAACAGCCTTCGTCGAGTCGCTGTGACTTAATCCACCTTAAAATGCGGCCTTCAAGGCTGCAGACCCTGAATTGGGATACAGCCTATATTCCAGATATCTGTAGTATTATTAGAATCATATGATTACAACACATTTACCTCTCCTCCACTTCTTTGAAATGTCTCCCAGTCCCAGTGCACTTGTTAGCATGTTTTGGTTCCTGCAACTAGTCTGTCGTGTTTTATCTCCCCAGAAACATTTCCATTGTGTTTTTTCCTATTTCCGTTGTGTTTTGTGTGCTTTTGAAGCGTTTTTCTTTCTGCAGCGTTTTTCTTTTTGCAGCTGTTTTCTTTTTGTAGCATTTTTCTTTTTGCAGCGTTTTTCTTTTTGCAGCATTTCTTTTTGCAGGTGTTTTCTGAAGTTGCAGTGCAGCGTTTTTCTTGAAGTTGCTGTGCAGCGTTTTTCTTTTTGCCACATTTTTCTTTTTCCAAGTGTTTTCTGAAGTTGCAGTCCATTTGGCCTCTCAGGGCCACCGTAGAAACACATCATTATGTAGCAATTTCAAATATCCAGTGGCCTTGAGGTTTCCATTGATGAAGAATGGACCCACTATCGTTGTACCCCATATACCACACCAAACCATCACTTTTGTTGTTCCAACAGTCTTGGAGGGATCCATCCAATGTGGGTTAGTGTCAGACCAATAGCGGTGGTTTTGTTTGTTAACTTCACCATTCACATAAAAGTTTGCCTCATCACTGAACAAAATCTTCTGTGTGAACTGAGGGTCCTGTTCCAATTTTTGTTTTGCCCATTCTGCAAATTCTGTGCGCCGATCTGGGTCATCCTCGTTGAGATGCTGCAGTAGCTGGAGTTTGTAAGGGTGCCATTTGTGAGTAGCTAATATCCGCCGAAGGGATGTTCGACTAATGCCACTCTCCAGTGACATGCGGCGAGTGCTATGCTGTGGGCTCTTGCTGAATGAAGCTAGGACAGCCACTGATGTTTCTTCATTAGTGACAGTTTTCTTGCGTCCACATTTTGGCAAATCCAACACTGAACCAGTTTCACGAAAAAGCAGTTTGCTAACTGTAGCATGGGAGATGGGTGGTCTCGTAGGGTGTCTTGCATTGAAATCTGCTGCAATGACCCGGTTACTGCGTTCACCAGATATCAACACAATTTCGATCCGCTCCTCACGTGTTAACCTCTTCGACATGTCAATGGCTGTGAACAAAGAGAAACTTGTAAATAACTCATGAAAGAATAAAGTTACGTTGAAACCAAGCACACCATTGTTTTTCTTGTGACATTACCAATAAGTTTGATGTGTCACATGGCCCTCTTCCTATTGAAAAAACAAAAGTTGTATCCAAGATGGCCGACTTCTAAATGGCCACCATGGTCACCACCCATCTTGAGGAGTTTGCCCCCTCACATATACTAATGTGCCACAAACAGGACTTTAATATCACCAACCATTCCCATTTTATTACGGTGTATCCATATAAATGGCCCACCCTGTATTTACAGTAGTGGTTTGTGGGAAATACTCCTAGCGTTTGCAGACCTGGCAGACTGTGTCAGCAACTTTATTTTCATCCATAACAAACATATTTAAGCTTTTGTTGGCTTCACAGAGGCAACCTGCTGAAAACGCTTAATCCAGTTTATACTTACCTAAAAAAAAAAAAAAAATCTAAGCTCTTAACTACTAAAACCAAGGAAAAGAAAAAGGAAAAACATCAGGGACAAAAACAAAGCCCTCCTAAACTGAAGCTTGTTTCTAAACAATGTCACTAAGCAGCTCCGAGAATCTGCTGGAATCAACTTCAGTTTATGGAATATTTTGACCCAAACATCCGTTTCACAGTAAGAGGGTAAAGGCTCAGACATCCTGGTGATTAATAGAAGCTGGCTACTGAACACATTTTTCCCAGACTGTAATTTTCCTTCAATCACTATGGTTAAATGGGCCTTTTTTTATTTAATCAACTAACTATTCCCATGAAAATATTTACATAAAAGCTTTATAAAATACTGGTTTGTGTATCCCATTTAAGCTTCAGCAATCAGAAAACACAGAAAGCTCTTTCAGGCACTGTTTGAATCAGGAACAGTCATGGATCCTTCCTCATTTTACATTTAGTGATAATTTTGACCAGGAATGTATCATGGAGATATATCCATGCCGATTATGGTTATTGCTCTCATATGACTCAACAAAAACATAGAGGATGTTGGTGGCATGAAACTGCTGTACAGGGACATGAATGTTAATGCTTTTGTTTTGTTGCTGAGCTTTAAATAATTGACACTACAGACAAAGAAACACAGAGCTGTTATTTCCATTCCCTGTCTGGCCTTTTCCAAGAATAGACTTTTCTGTTGAGAATCTTTTTTTTCTCTTTTTTTTCAGTTTTATCTTCAAGGCAGTTTTTTGGCATTGACACAAAGCAAAAACAAATGTGTTTTTTTGATTAGTGTTTCATGTTACTTTTGCCTTTTGTTCTGCTAACAAAAATAGAAGAGAACAGGAAATGGAAGGGCTCTGAGGGATGAGAAAAAAATCAAATGAGGACAGTTTTGATCCCAGGATGTTGTGGTCACTTGAAAGGGACAAGGGCACATCTTATGTACTTTTCCATAGCCTATCTTTGTATAATCAAGATTTGTGACCTGCATGCTGGAGGAAAACTACTCCAATATTGTTTTTTCACTGTAATACAAAACTTACAGATATGGCACTTCAGTCATCACAGGTCGTTTGCTTACTCCTTATATGTTTTATGTCCTCAGCTTTAAGCTATTTTCCACCACTGCTTTTGAATGTTTAAGCACATGTGAATATAACAAAGTGTGCACTGGGCACTAAAGTTCTACCCATATGTTATTGCTTACTATGTAAGCAATAATGTGTGTGCCTGACTGTGTGTATGCTAACACTTTTTTGCATGTTGTGTGTTAGATCTCTTACATAACAGTCGACTCATGGGAATAATTCCGTCAGCAAAAGCAAAATGTACAGTAGAAAACACTCTTGCATGTGCAAAAATACCCATGTTGTTTGTTAGAGTAAAAATGTACAGAGTTTTCAAAATAGAAATACAGACATAAACTGGTTCTAATACATGTCTTTTTTCTAAAAACGGAAACAAGCCTTTCAAAAGATCCATATGCATGTCTCAAGGAACCAAACCAGGATTGAGGTGCTGGAAACAGTACTAAAAGCTGAAAAGGTATATTGAAATCAAAAAGTTTTACAGGTTGAAACTGTGAGATTCTAGAGTGGGGTCAGTGACAGGGGCAGGCAGGTGATTTCTTCAAACACTAAGCTCCACAGCTGTCTCATCATCAATGTCTCTTTTAGAAACTAAGGGCAAAAAGCATCTGTACAGAAGAGAGTGACGTAAGTTCAGGACAAAACAGATTCAAAAACAGTTAAAAACAGAGAGGAAACAGGAAGGGTCTCCCACAGGACTGGAACAAAATATTTCTAGCTGGGAAACATCAAATGAGTTTTGAATCATCGGGTTTCTGGGCCGTTTTAGATGTACAATCATAGGATTAATGATAGGTGCCATGAAGATCATGGAATTATGGGTGTATTCCACCCAAGACAGTTTTGAGCTCCAGGTTGTTTAATTAGATGAAACAGTATATTGTGGGTTGCCTCCAACTCCTAATTGGTCCTTTCAGTTTTTGTTTAAGTCTGGAGATAGAAGAGAAGCAGAAGCTGGAGGTGAATTGAGGTGAATTGTGTACCCTGGTCAGACAACGTCCAGTGGAATGCCATGGAGACTGAGCATAAGGCTGAAGGCAGCTTGGGAAGGGCTATAAAATGAAAAGCCCTGGAAAAACAATTGATTAAAGTTGGGATGGTTGTGTTACCTGTTCATGGTTACAGATAGGTGATAAAAATCCAATACAATTTGGGACCATGGATGTCCAGCTAAGGATCTATGTAAATGAGCTGATAGACAACGGAAAGTCTGTGTTTTAAGCACAAACAGAGTAGGGACAGACACATGTTGTTACACATCCCTGACTAGGCCTGTCCACTAAAAAAATGTCCAGAGGAAAGTAAGTGTGTGGTTACACCTGGGATAACAAGTGAACTTAGTAGTGTGAGCCCAATGAATTACCTGTAATCGAACTGATGAAGGCATATAAATCGTATAGGGTGGTCTACCTCCAGGATCAAGTCCATTATGTTGGGCAGTATAACCATTAATTCAATCTCTTAGATAAGGGATCTAATAACACAGGATTATGTGCTCAGAAAAACAGTAAAACATAGAGTATCATGAAAGGCCGTCCAGTTTCACATTGGGGGACGTTTACTTATTTCACATTTTGTCATGTTACAGCCTTATTACATTGTGGATTAAATTAATTTTTCATCTCAAGATTCTACACACAATACCCCCATAAAGATGTGAAGTGAAACACTTATGCTTGAAATGCTTGCAAATTTATTTCAAATTTCTGTCTCCCAGTAGGACGACTGAGTCCCCAGCCTGAGCACCCCCAGTGTAGGTGGTAGAAATGTGATTACTCTGCTCCATTTTGTGCTTCTCTAGGAAGCATTACCTCCACTGCAAGTTTGCTTTGGGGTGAAGAACCAAAATTAAACCTGATCTCTTTAGTTGTAAAATGAGGTCTTGTTCAAATTCCCTGGATAGAAAATTTTTGGATATAAAGGTTTGATTTAAGGAGCTTATCCTGACCAAAGATAATCTCTTATGAATGTCCATTGTTTTCCATTGGTCACAAAGATTTACCAAAATAAACACAATCCACACATCCAACATAAAATTAGACATTTTATTTTTTTTCTTTGCAATCTTTTCTTTTCTCAAAAAGAGAAGTATAGCAGTACACTCTTTGTTTCTTAGAAAATGAAACAAACAAACAAACAAACAAACAAACAAACAAATCAAAATGACAACAACAAAGTTATACGTTTTATTTTTCATTTTGTATTTTCTTCCTATGTTTTGGAAGAGCATACTGTCATAGAAAAATACTATATTACATAGAATAGAAAAAAAAATACACAATATCAATGCGTACATTATTAATAGCCCAGTCCAGAACCGTAGCAACTTTGACATCCAAACACATATTAGGCAAAAGAACAAATCAAAATATCTTTAAAAAATAAAGCATGAAACATAATTAAAAAAATAAACACATTAATAAAAAAAAAATAGGAACAAAGACTGGAGACACTGACATTTCTTACTTTTGAAATGTGCAGCATGACATCATTTTCTCAGTTTCAAGTCATAATTACGCTGACTGCAACGAAGAAGTCAATGTTTGTGTTTATCATTGAGCTAAATAGGTTAACTGGCTAGATATCGGAGAAGAAATTTAAGTTAGCTCATCAACAACTGTCATTAAACAGGCCAGTAAGCTAACAAGACATCTTATTGACTCATTGTATAGTTCTCAGCAACAAGCCTACTTATAGCTGGTTAGTTTAAGTAGATTTGTTGCGGCTCACTTATTGTGGCAAGTTGTGAATAAAATGGCTATAAATAGCTAATACACTGGTTTGGGTAGTTTTGCTGTCACAATTGTATTTGTTATTTATGTATAACTAATGGTCAGATTGGTAGGTGCTATAGTTTGCTAGCTGTAACAACTTGCTAGTGTTCAGCTAACATTATTTATCTGTTACTGGTAATTTTCTGATTTGTTGAGTTGACAAGAGGTGACAAGATAATGTAGTTTCCTTGTAGCCATTGAATGTTTTGCTACCCACAGTTTGCTGCAGCTGAGGCTCTCCAATTTAGACACTGCATGTTAAAAAACAAAACAAAATGCACACCAAAAATAAAAATAAAGAGCCAAAAGATTGTCCTGGCCACAGACACAGCTAATAGAAAGGTGTAATGTAACACAAATATTTGACTGTAGTCTCCCAACCAAAATCATGAGTACATGACTGGCTTACGTTGCACATTGACAACTCGTGCGGTAGAAAACGCAACATGTGCTCTCTCCCCTACAGGAACTTGTTATAGAAGCATAAAGTAATTACCCAGTAACATTTACCTAGTTTGGCTTTCCTTACTGCTCAATAGCCATGAACTAGCATCCTCTGGTCAGAAGGTGAATCACCCTTTACTTAAGCTGTACGACAAGATTAACCATGTTTACATGGTATATTTGTGAGTGACTGAGCAGGCGTGGGCTTGTGAAAGGGCTTTACTTTAGCTGATGATGTAATATATGGTGGATTATGTAATAACTTATCTAATGTACTGAAATCGCTTAATGGGTTCAGGGGAGTAATGCCAACAAGCTAGTCTAATAAAATGTGGTACATTACCATTAAATCTTCACATGAACATTTTTATTTTCCCCAAAATCGAAAAAGCACAGGGAATTAAATAACATTTTTTGTATTATAAACATATCCGTGCGGAACAGTTGTTACGGTTCTGGATTGGGCTTTAAACTGACATTTGACCCAAAAATGCATAGGGAGTATACATGGCCACATACATACATAAAAGAAAAAAACAAACAAACAAAAAAACTATTCAGAAGGCTTTTCTCAGCATTTTCATTTTTTGTTGCTTTACAAAAGTTTGTTCCATTGTACATGAAAATACTTACAGTGCATGGTATTCAACAGTGTGCTTTATATTCAGCAGTAAGTGCTTGGAGAGAAGTAAATGTCCCTTTTTTGTATGTGTGTTGAGTTTACACTATTTTAAGCCTTTTCCGGTTTTTGGAAATAAAAATATAAAGGCCCACAATCCTTTAAAACCTCACTACTGTACAATGAAATGTACACAAATTAGTTTACACACACACACAGACACATACACACAAACACACACACACCTCTGAAACAGTGTATGCCCAGAAGTAGTGGACATTTTTTGCACATACATGTATTAGACAGAGAAACGTTGACAAATAGAAGTCTTCTGTATATGTTTTGTTATTCACACCCATACAGACATGGAAATTCTTATAGGGTGCCGCTGAATTCTGTTACATAACAACATAAGAAAATGGTAGGAACAGGGGTTGTGACTCTCTCAAAGTTTAGTTTTTTTTGTCAGTCTTGTCGAAAAAAAATGCTGTTCTATTACTCACTTATAATAATATCCTTATACTGATGATGTATCCATCATATACTCCATATAGTTTTGTTCACCATAATTCATGCTAATATGTGTACACACACAAGTGTGCAAAGGATGTTTAGATTTGTTTTTTTCCTCAAAAAGGACAAAACCTTTATCTTGCAACTTGCGCATTTATAAAATACTGCAGTAAAGTATTTAAATGTTAACTAAGAGCAACCCATACATAGATGAGCAGTTTCTTTGAAATTGTATGGCTTCATCATGTCTATCAATAGGATTAAAGAAGACAAAGAAGTGAACTGTGGTAAGTTCTTAGAAATATTTGGATGATGCCAGTTAGCTTAAAGTGTAAAAGATTGGTGCTGTTTTGGTGGAAAATGGTAGCAAAACCAGAGATTGATTTTAGTTTTATTCTGTTTACTGCAATTTATTTAAGTTAACTGCTACTTTGTAGAATTTAAGCACCTACTTTTGCACAGCACATTCATAAACTGCCAAGATCAGTAGGAGGGAACAAGAGCCAGCCCAATTTCAGTTAATCCAAAGACAATTGGAGCAAACACATTTTTGGCAGGAATAAGAAAAAATCATGAGAAATTAGGGGTCTGAAGGAAATGGAATGTCTGGGGTTGCAAAACTTGAAACTTGAAGACTTGTAAGTTCTAAAGTTTCTGTGTGAAGGGTATTTCAGTGCTCCAGCTACTTTGAGCATTATGACTATTGTTAGTCGGATGCACAGTGCCCTTGATTATAAAATCAAGCACCCTGAAATTTAGTTTTTGGGAAAGTCAAACCCAAAACAGGTTAGTATGATGGCTGATGAGTCACAGCTTATGTTGACACAAAGAAGAATAAATCAAATTAATAAATAAATTGCAGCTGTACAAGATGATGCTACAGCTAGGACTAGCTCTGTTAAATATTAATGGTGCACCACTCCAAACTAAAAAAAATGCTACTTGTTGTGCTTCTGACCTGATGTACTGCCTTTGGCCTTGGACACTGTAGTCTCATTCATTAATGAGGTGTCAGTGGTGTAAAAATACAGATTGTGTGTCTAACCACATTGCAGGTGTAAGGTTCTAGTTGGCTGTCTCTTGAATTAGAAATTAACCTTCCCTTAGCAGTAGAAGTAGAAATATACTTAGGGCTTTAAAACTATCGCACAACTAAGATCAGGTTTAGTTCAAGAAGGGATCTGTAAGATGTGACAAGGTTGCTAATCAAAAGTTAGCAGGGGAGGCTTTAGGAAGAAGAGAAAGGTTTACTATTTTCCCAATAGTCAGCATTATGTGAACTGATTAGAATCTTGCACTAATGAGCTGTCAGTCAAGGAAACCACAACACTTAATGTTGTGGTGAAGGTTAATAGTGGGAAAACCAGCTCTCAATCCTTGACATAACATTTGGCACACACTCTGTTCAAACTAATGTTTGTTCTTAGTTCAATCTTGGATCCATGGTGAAATTGCAAATGAGCACACACAAGTAGTCAGGAATGCTCACAGTGCTTCAAAGGGTGCTGACCATTAAAGGATAGTGGCTCAGTTTAACTCAGGCCGAACTCTGGAAATTTCCAATTGCACCTTGGAATAGAACCTGCTGATACACTCACATATAAATTACACATCATAAACAGACATTCATGAAAGACACAACAAAATGGCTTGATAATAAATGCATAACACACACTGTACGGTTTCATTTCCTTTGTTATCAGAGCCTTTTGTGTAAGAATGTGTGTGTCGGAAACTTGTCCATAGTCTGGCTTCACCAGCAACCTAGTGTAGTAGGTCTGATAGCAGATGATGCTATTGACTTTGTTCATAATCTTTGTGCAAAAGGGTGAGTGTTACCAATAAATCCAAACAGCAGTAGTGCTCTATAGCTATTATTTGAATAGTTCAAAAGGCTGTTAAATTAAAAGCCACAACAAAGAGAATGTTACTTCTTTATGACTTGTTGCTTGTTGTTCCCACTGCCTTAATACAACAGCATAAATGATCCATGACAATGAGACTCTTCAATAATTGAATCTTCCTCAAGGACCACATAGGGTTTAGTGGTGATCACAAGCAAGCAACAAGCAACTGTATACCACTTCCTTATTAGATGTGTAGAAGAAATACAGATTATATAATAAAAAAGAAAACAAAAAATAGAATATTATCAAATATTCCAGTTTGGTAATATTCCAGTTCTGGAACATATCGGGAACAACTGTGTCTTCTCTCTTCTGTAAAATATGGCGGCATGACACTCGGGCATTACTGCAGAAGGCCCACAACCATAAATGCTGATCTCATGCTGGACAAATGAAAACACGATGATTCATACTTATAAGTGATACTCCAATGGAAAATTATGCGTATTTTAATTCCTATAGATCCTCCTAAATCACACTTGTCATTGTGTTGACACTGCCTGCTATTGGGAACAGCTTTATTCACTGCTTAGGCATTCTTCTCCAAGAATGGTCCCAGTGGCTCACAGTATATATTAGTTTTGAGGTCGCTGGTAAGTGAAATGATCCTTTTGTTGTTGGATTATATAAATCAGACTTAACATCTTAAAATTAAACTAGCTGCTAGTTAATTTATTCTGCGGCACACATCCTTACACAAATATGCCAATAAAGACAAACAGATGTTACATTAAATCAAACTGAGCCTCAAATCTAATAATTTTGCGATTTGAAATGAATTTGAAATGCTACTGTTGCTTGACATTGTAGTCTTGCAATGAAATATGATGAGGTGAACCCAGTGATCTCAGACAACTATTGATATAGTGGATAATGTCATAACATTTGGCACATTTCAAATGCAGGTGTTCTTCGTTTGGCAGTACAGTTTGTTCTGGGGCACAGCCACTCATGCTCATTTATGGTGTAGCAAAAGCCGTAATTGGTCAATTCCACTTAAGACACCATTTTTCAATGGGAGCAGAAATTACGCCCTTCCCTCCTTTCACTTTCATTTTATGATAGCATGAAACAAAATAACAGTTTGGCAGTTGTGATGGCATCACTGATGACATCTTCATAAATCAGCGTTGTGATGTCACCAAAGTGACATTATAATGTGCAGCAAGATCCAATAGAGAAGTCTGCCTTGAAAAAAAAGAGCTATACTTGACCACTCCAGAATTTTGTTTTTTTCTTGGTAATGTCAAGTGAGCAGCAGTGTTTGAGCAGAATCCTAGCAGCATTATGAAATTCTAAAATGGCTACATTTATTATAGACACACTCCCATTATGAACTGTTTGTTCCGTTTTCTGTTAGTAACCTTCTGTGAAACAAATGGAAACCCGAAACTGAGAATTTTTCTCCGGTAAAATCATTTACAATATTGTATAAGGCAGATCTCTCAGGTGCAAGTACTGTAGGTTCATGGGAGCATATGGCCTTGCAATAAAAACTGAAATAATCTTACCCGTATTGCAGGTTAAAATGAGTAAAAATGGCTATTTAAAGTGCCGAGTAAGTCATTGTTGAAATCGAAACAACACTGTGAGTCCAGCCAGTTATCGGGAGAGCTTTTGGTGTGTTTTTCTGTATTGTGGTGATGCTTTCATACAGACCGTACTGTGTAAAAGCAGTTCAACCCAGTGTAAATGGGATGGGGAGACTATGTGAGCATGCACGTGTTAGGATGTGTGTTCCAGTAGGAGTCTCTGTATTTAAACAGATATACTGCAAGCCGGTGGAGTGTGTGTGTGAGTGAGTGTGTGTCTGCGTTTTTGGGCCAGTTCCACTATGTATAAGTTTATGCTTCATCACCAGTTACAATATGTCTTCTGTATGTTTTGTGCACGTGTATGTATTTGTGTTACAGGTCAAGTGCGTGGTCTAAAGTGTTGTTATTGTCCTCTGGGTCATCATTGGCAAGTGGGTTGCGGCTGATGACCAGTTCAAGTCTGTCTCCTGCTTCTGTGATGAGAGGTACGGCCAGACAACAGTCAAAGTCTCTCGTCCTTACATGGTTCACCTAAATGCAGTCAAAAAGATTAAGCCAATGGTTACTTTGGTAATTTGCATAACTGTAGACATTTTTAATTTAGCAAACAAAAAAAAAGAGGGGGACGTGAAGATAACTACATGTAAGCATAACAAAATATGACGCAAAGAATTTTTCCAAATGCTGAGGACAGAGTGAGCTTTTTTTTTTCTTCACAACAAAAAACTATATTAGAATTAGGGATGCAATGATGGGCAGTACACTAATTATTATCATCATCATCACCTGCAGGATCCTGTCATAGGGTCTAAGCCCGGCTCTGTCAGCAGGGCCATCAGGTCTGATCATGTTGACATAAACACCTTTTTCCAAGAAACCATCTGACACGCTAAAGCCAAAGTCATCACTCTCTGGGTCCTTTATCACTGTTACCTAGTGACAGAACACAAGGATGTGAGGTTGAGTAATAAAATGTAATTTGCTAGTATCTTGTGCTCCTAATCAAGACAACAGAACAAAAAGACTATTCACATGTCAACCCGTCTGATGAAACTGTCTCAAAATATCTGTTGTGTCACTGCAGGAACAATAAGTTTCTCTGTGGATGGGAATAACACTTGTAACCATGATAACTGCACACAAACATAAAGAAAGCTGCGCAACACATGAAATTTAGACAAAGAAATGTCACTGATAAATTAACATATTCAAATTTATTTAATCAAAGTACAAAAATTTGTCTAAATTAAAAGTTTTGTATGCAAATTAAAACCAAACCAACACCAGATGCTAAAATAAACAGATTTTTAGCCTGAGATCCAGATCCAATTCTAACTGGTTTAAGATCCCAAGCAGAATAAAAATGCTCATTAAACAGGACGACCAGAATAAATGCACACAAACTGACATTTATTACTTTAGGGTGGAATAAACTATTTTGTAAACTGATCCAAATAAATATTTTACCATGTAAACATTTTAACCTGATTGCTTTCTGGGTGTGTATTCGCAGCTGAAAGTTTATTTGTAATACAAGGTCCTAAAGAATAAACGGAAAAAACGATAATGACAATTGTGCTGATAATAGACGTCTTTCTTCAGTGAACTGCCATGTGCCACAAAGCAGGAACCAAAAGCCGAATAAATGGACAAAGCCATATAATATAATGGACAACTGTAAGATAAAGTCTTTATTATTGGTAATGCAATCCAGATTGTTTGCTGTACCTTTTGGATACAAAACCAAAAATGCAGCAGCATTATGACATTCATCTGAAATGTTGTATGATCGATTAACGAGGCACGACTTAAGGCTGTAACAGTTGTTCACTGTGATGTATTTTCTCTCTATGGATAAAACATGTATTTCTCATTCTGGCTCTGAGCTGTACATGTTTCACTTGGCCCTCGTCTCCTCAAATTGTGACTGTAAATTCATGGAAGGCTGAACTACATGTAGTCACTTGCATAACAGGGAGGCTGGGTATTTATACTGTATTACATAATACTCTGCACTGTAAAAAAGAACATTTCAAACCTCATAAGAGTAAACTAGAACTCACCATGCATGCTAGCTAGAAAGGGGATATTATTCAAGTTATTAGTAATGACAGTGTTTGACATGTCAAGTCAAAATGTGTACTTTAAAGTTTGGACCAGATACCAAAGCTTACAAACTTTAACAGCAATGTCAGCTTGAATGGTTACATTGATATTTTTGGTTGAATTCTAATTATCTACTGCAAGTTTACCTAATATTCTCAATATTTCATCCTAACACCACATCAAAAACATATTTTGTCCAGTTCTCTCTGAACTCACTTTGTGAAGCTCTAGTGGTGTTGGTGACAGAATACCCTGCATCTCTTCTTTGATCCGACGGGACTCCCATGTCCTCTCTGATACTCTCAGTGAGGCCTTTGACTTGGGCTCGTGGTGCAGGAGAGGGGATTGGATATCTTGGTGAATGTGAACCCCTTGTTGTAGGTGCAATTCCTGGTTGAAATGGGCCTCCTCGTGTAGATGGGGGTCTGAGTGGCAAACATATTGCAAGTGTTTTTAACCAACTGTTTAACAAGTAATCCTTCTATACATGGTATAAAATGATACTTTACTATATTTTTCTGTTTAAAATTTGGAAACAACCACCCTTAGTTGTGTCATATCAGTGACTAACCTTGGTGAAGTTGAGCCTCTTCATGAAGGTGGGCTTCCTCGTGAAGATGGGCACCCTGATGGAGGTGTGTTCCTTGGTGGTGCAAGTTGCCTTGATGCAGGAGAGAATTTCGCCGCAATGGGCTCATCCTGCTGTGGGTCAGTATGGGCTCAGATGGAGGCTTGTTGACACCATCTACACCAAGACTGATGGCTGTGCCTGTCATGATGGATGCCTGCAATGAATTGAAACAAGTTGAGTTACCGCTTTGTAACCAACCATTTGGAGACATTGAGTGCTTGCCAATGTGATTGTTTGACAAACATTCATACGTTCAGCACAATTTGTTACTGGTTTAAATACTATTGGTCAGACTGGGCAGCATCACCTCATCCCCCGTCATAATGAACACTGGTGCTCCACAGGGGTGTGTACTGAGGCCTCTCCTGTACTCACTCTACACCTACAACTGCACGGTCACTAGCAACTCCAACATCATTTTGAAGTATGTGGACGACACTACAGTGGTGGGTCTTATCACCAAAGGTGATGAGACGGCTTACAGGGAGGAGGTCAGCGCCCTGACCCACTGAGACAACCATCTCACCCTCAACGTTGCAAAGACAGAGGAGTTGATAGTGGACTTCAGGAGGTGCAGAGAAGCACACACCCCCATCACCATCAACGGAGCTGCTGTGGAGAGAGTGAGCAGCTTCCGTTTCCTAGGTGTACATCTGGTGGAGGATCTCACATGGTTAGTACAAATAAAAGCTCTCCGGAGAGTGGTGCAATGTGCCGAAAGGATAATAGGAGGTGAGCTTCCCTCCCTCCAGGACATCTGCAGGAAGCAGTGCCTGAGGAAAGTCGGGAGGATCATCAAAGAATGCAGCCACCCAAGCCATAAACTGTTCAGACTACTTCCATCAGGCAGGAGATACTGCAGTATCCAGTCCCGAACCAGCAGATTGAGAGACAGCTTTTTCCATCAGGCCATCAGACTGCTGAACACTTCATAGACACCTCACCTTCACTTACCGGAACTTCAACATCCATATTGTACATAAATGCCACTTGTTTTGCACAATATCCAACTGCTGACCTCTGTATATTTTATCTTTTTTCATTTTATACATTAAATACCATTGCCATTTTATACATGGCAGCACGGTGGCACGGTGGTTAGCACTGTTGCCGCACAGCAAGGTGGTCCTGATTTCAATTCCCCCATCAGGCTGGGGTCTTTCTGTGTAGAGTTTGCATGTTCTCCCCGTGCTTGCATGGGTTCCCTCCGGGTACTCCAGCTTCCTTCCACTGTCCAAAGACATGCAGTTTTGTGGGGATAGGTTAATTGATTAATCAAATTGCTACATAGGTGCGTGTGAATGTGAGCGCGAATGGTTGTCTGTCTCTGTGTATTAGCCCTGTGTACCCCACCTCTCGCCCTATGACAGCTGGGATAGGCTCCAGCGCCCCCCGCAACCCTATAAAAGATAAGCGGAAGCGAATTGATGGATGGATAATTTTATACATATGTATACACACACAGACACAGACACACACACACACACACACACACACAAAGATATGTGTATATACATATTTAGTATACATATTCAGTAATGCGATTCCAGTTCTTATATTGTGTTTGTTCTTATGTTATAGTATTTCGCACACCTCTGTTGCTTGTGAAGCTTGCACACAAGAATTCGCAAGTTCAAGGACTCGTATGTGCTATACCAGTGTACCTGTACATGTCATGTGACAATAAAAGTGATTTGATTTGGTTTGCTATTACATCAATGAGTGTACATAAAGGTGGATTTATAATGCTATGTTGAGGGGTTATACGTAGCAGAACTAAAATGCCTGCAATCATATCCACTAAAGCCTTGCTTTAGTCTTTACATGTTGCTCTTCAGTATAAAAGACAAATTAGCTATGAAGTGTATATATAGATACTGTATGAGTAGATATCCATGTTCTACAGCATCAGGCAAATAAAAGAATGCAAATACTAAACATGCTATACATTAAAATAAACTGCAGATTAAACATGATGTTTACAACCATTAAAATATGAGGGTTCATAAAAACCTGCGACAAAACTGTTGTTAAAACCCTTTGACTCAAGTGCAAATCCACTTCAGTGAGCACTGTATGCTGATTAAGTCCAGTATTCATCTTTGATGCCAATTTTACACTTGAAGTCAAATAGTTGTGAAAAATACTAACTAACCTCTATTTCTCTTAGTAGTTCTGACTGGCCACAGGTCTCCAGGTCCTCCAGAGCTTGACACCAGAAACTGTCTTCTGGATCCAATAGAATGCCATCCGGTTGCTGGCCAATAAATCTGCCACACAAAAACAGACACACAAATAAAACAAGTTTCCACACCCATTTTGCTGGATTTTCTCTGTTGCTGAGTACTACAAAAGGGGAAAACCATGCAAAGCAAGACAAACATATTTAAGCTTTATCTTCATGGAACTGCCTTTTGATCACACGTTGTGTATTGTGCGAAATGTATTTTTCTCTTAAATATTTTATTATTATGATTATAATTATTATAATTATAATATTTATTTATCTAAAGTGCAGAGAGTAGTTGGCTACATGACATGCAGTGTGCCTGATTTAGCACTGGAACTTTCACTTACAAAAAGGCATTAAGGACACAGAATCTGTACACACACTGTCTGTATCTGTCATGGTTAAACCGAACGAACAAAAGTAATCATTTAACCCAGAATGTCCCAAACTAACACGATTAATTCACTTTCATTGTTTTACTGATTTTTGTTTTTTTCCTCGAAAATCCCTTTCTCTCGCTGTACACCCTCAGAAGTGTTATGTAACTTTAACATGCTGACTAGCCTTAGCCTTCTGACTCATCACAGCTTTACACAGAGATACACAAAGACACAGGTACAACATATTCACAGTAGCACTGACTTCATGACTCAATCTCTGCAATGAGGTGTACCCTTCGCCAAGAGCTCTTGGTGATGATACCGGCACAGTGAAACAGTGTTAAAGATAAAATCCTTTCTTGCAGAAAATAAGCTCATGCATTTTGAAGATCTATAGTGGTGAAATATATCATACCATTCCACACCATACCATAGCACTTTATTCATAAAACAGCTTTAGAAACATCAGCAGGGCTGACTAAATTGCTGTTCAATAACACCAAACATAAAAGACAAACACGGGCCAAAGGGTAAAAGATACAGAAAACAAAACAGCTTTAGAGTATATAAAAAGTAGATAGAAATCACAGTCAATTTCACACTGGGTCAAAGGATAGGGACTAAAAGTGAAGGACCTGTCTGAGCTGTGATTCCTAATCATTCCACAATATAATAATTAATATAGAACTGACATCACAAAAGCAATCACTCCAAGGAGCTTTATATTGTCAGGTAAAAACCCTACAATGAAACAAAGAAAACCCGAGTAATCTGATTATCCCTATGAGCAAGCACTTGGCATCACTGGGAGGAAAAAACCTCTGGCAGAACCAGACTCAGGGAAGCACAGCCATCTGTCATGATCGGTTGGGTATGAGGAGAGGAAGACAGGACAAAAGATAGTGTTGATGAACCATAGAAACTATTATCTATGTCACCTTGAGGTCAAGGTCAGATCACCTTGACCTTGAGGTCAAGGTCACCCCATCATTTCTTTTTACTGCTGAGGGATAAAAAACACACACTCACAAATAAACTGTACAATCAAGTGAGTGCAGACAGCCTACAATGGCCCTTAGTCAATAAGTCAACATTTATATGGATTTTTATGAATAAAAAAGGTGATATCAAAAGAAAAGTGTATGATACACAAAAAAAAAAGACCGTCACAACGAACAGCTTTGTAGCTAAAACTAAATTCAGACCTACCCTGGTGGTTTGTCCCAGTCATCCTCACTGAAGCCTCCGTCACTAAACGGGTAGTTCTTCCGACGTCCAGGAGGAGGCGTGGTACTTCGTTGCTGCTTGGCACTACGCCACTCATGCGGGTGTAGAGCGATACCAGCTGCTTGATGGGTGTATGTACCTACAAGAGGATAGATGAAATGACCAAATACAAGAAAGAGTGCTTTTAATATATTCCTTCTTTTCATTAACATATTTCTTACAGGGTTAAGACATCCTGAAATTTCACTTTCTACACATGCTCAAATGTAGCTTACCCTGGCTCCCATAGCCTGCATCCAGCCCTGAGCCATCCCATGACTCCATAGCAGAGTCAACGCTGGGTATTGTTGTGGAGTAGAGCTCTGATAGCTTGTTGGTTTGTTGGCTGTCTGTCAAATCGTCCTCCTCAGGGTCACTGATCTCGTTTTCTGTTGTGTCCTCTACATCTGCTGTCTTCCTGTCTTCTATGTCTTGAAGAAAAAAAAAGAGGCCAATTTAATTTAAAGGTTAACTCTAATTGTTAACTTGGTAAAATACATATGTGAACCTTTTACTACATGTATATTTTTCAACATTAAATGCTTATAAGAGACAAAATGAAACTTGAACTGGCTAACCTACTGATCTCTTCTCTGCATTTACCTATAAACAGGTTTTAAATCAGATCTATTAGGATATGAGTTGCAAACAGCTAACCTGTTACATACCACTTATACAGTACAAATATTGTATGCATGTTTTAAACAACAGGGTTTCCATATCTTCGCCCCGCAAAAGTTGTATTGCTGTATTACTTTCCTATTTTTTTTACCTCCTGCACAGGAACTGAAACCATCTGATTCTGCGCAAGGTTTTTGTTCTATTCACCTGGTGTGCAGATAATGGAAGAACCTTTGTAATGCAAGTAACACCTTATTTGTAACTTTGATTACTGAATTTAGCACAGTAACGTGTTACATTACGGCGGTACTGAAAGATGTAATGTGGCAACGGTAACATGTTAGCCAACACTGCGCACAAAAGACAGATTTAAAATGCATGTTACTGTTACTAGTTTTTATACTTACTGTCAAGCTGTTTTTTTATTTTGAGAGTGACCGTCTCTCCAGCCATCTGCAGCAAGTGGATGGCTTCGCTCAGCGGCTTCCCTTTCAGGCTGACACTGTTGATAGCCAAGATCCGATCACCTACATGTATAGCCCCTGTCCTACATAGGTAACGAGATACACAAAGGTACAGAAGTAGAAATTTGTATTATTCCCACACAGGAAAAGTAAAAAATGTTAAACCTCATACATATCATTATACAAGAAGATTGTTAATAAGCCTAAAAAGGACTCTAGAGGGGTCTGAATAGCATTAAACCATTAAATATCTATCAAAAAAGTTATTTGTGAAAACATATTTTGACCTCTAGTGCACCATGTTAGTATTTTTAAATAATACCGCAAAATACACTAATATCAAAAATTCTCATTTCCTACAAAATCAAAGATCAATGTACAAAAAAGCAGCTGCAGTGTTTACAAATATTATTGCTACTGGTTTATTTTTGATTACAATTTTTTCCAACTAATACAGATTTTTGCCAATTCTGATTTTCTAAAAAAAGTTAACTGACAGCATGTACAAACAAAAATCAATCTTATCAGGACACACACCCATTTTTGCTTTTCCAGTTATCTCTATAATTTTCCTCATAACTGCTTTGCTAATATAGAGGCAAGACACTTGTCCTGTGTTAGCTTCTTTAACATGTCCATATTCAACTGGGTGAAGATGATTTAAGTGTCTGACTAGATTTGTTGTTACAATTTTTGTGTGTGTGTGTTTTTCCCCCTGTGGTTTTCTTTGGAGAACCTTTGTGTCTTCACTCACAGCGAAGAGATTCCATGCTAACGACATGTTAGCATATGGCTATAAGTGTGGCCGTGACTATTTGCCTGTGGTGTTGTGGAAAGTGTGTGAAATGGATTAGTTTTAAATTGGACATATATGAGGCTGACTGGTGAATCTCAGTATGACACAATTATAATCTAACAGAGGGCAGGCGACTGGATAGTGACACTGGGGCTGCACCACAGTGGTATTGCTCATGGCTACATTCATATTTTAGGAAGGCTTTCTGACCTGTATTTTATTATTTTATACTTAGATAAGAGCAAGCAATTAAAGCTAGAGAAAAAGAAAAACAAATTTGTATTTACCTTGGCTCCATGGTTTTCAAACTACTGTAGGGCACACGATTGGATAGAAAAAAAATATAACAATGGTCTGCAGTGACACAGTGTTACTACAGAGTTTCTATAGATAAGATCTTACTCTTTTATGTTCATACAAAACTAAGATAAGATAAAGTAAGGGAAAACTAAGATAAACCGCCATATGACTGGACTAAGGTCAGAACAAGGTGAAAAGAATAACACTGCCTCCCTTGAATATCATTAAAAGTTTCACTTTCTTGTAAAGCCCTATAAGAAAGGAAAAACTGTCTCTTATATTCCAACCTAATTTGAGGAAGATATTCATTTTGAGGTCTCACACACAGGCTTATGAAAGCATATACTAAACATATATGTTAAACACTTTTTGAGAAAGCCTAGCATAACAAATAAGTTTTTTTTAAGGATATAGGGATGGTGTTCTTGTGCTCATACTAAGCACTCCTTCAAAGTTGATGTCAAAGAGCTTGATTTTGGTTTTGTCTTACCAAATAACCTTCTCCCAAGTCTTCTCTGAATCATTTAGATTCAGATTTAGGTTCACTGGTAAATGTAAGATGGGCCTATACATGTGCCTTTTTGCTGCAGTCCATTACAGCATAGCATGTTACCAAATGTCTTCTTGGTGACTGTGGTCCCAACTGCCTTTAGGTCATTAACAAGCTCCTCCCCTGTAGTTTTGGGCTGATCCACCACTTTTCTCATGATCATCTGCCCAATTTGATGTAAGATCTTGCATGGAGCTCCAGACCAAAGGTGACTTATGTTTATTTTATATTTCTTACATTTCAGAATTGGTACACAACTCACTTTTGCCCAAGTTGCAACAAGGCAGAGCCAAACCCAACCCAATCATAACCTAGGCTTATCACTAACTCTGATTTCTGATAAGGATGAGCTTAAATCCTGGAGAACAACACCTATCCTTGCCAACCTCACCAGTGGACGGATCCATCTGTGAGCCTGTGTGTCCTTGATGGTATTCCTTGGCTATCTATTGACTTAATGAACAAATGTTTTTATCAGCATTTTGCTATAATCTATAACCTGGCATCCCCATTCATCTTAGGAATACATTTTATAATCACAGGTCTATTAACCCTGCATAAATCAGAAAAGCCATGCACTTAGCTGTGATTTGAGTTCTTGAACCTTTCAGATCTTTTGCAAAGGGCCTTCGTGTAACTATATATACAGTATATACAGATTACAACAGCCTCAAGTGGCTAATGTTCCATCCTGGCAGGCTAGTCGGCTAATGGGATATCAGCCGACTAGCCTGCTGGTCTTTGTGACTCCAAAAGTTTCCTCCTTGTTCCCACAGATTTTTTTTGCCAGAGTGCAACATCACTGGTAGCTTATATTGCCATACTATGCCTCCAGTTTTACTGACAGATCGTGCACATATTAAACAAATGCAGTTAGATGACCCAGTCACTGCCCAGCTGTCCAGAAATCTAGGAACAGACCCATGTGCAGACATGAGTGGAAACAGTTCCTCATCATCTTTTGTTTACCATGGTCTACTCTACTATAAAGACCCAAAGCACAGATGTGGTTTGCATCAATTGAAATACCTTAAACACTCCATGGTACCTTGCTCAGTTACTATCATGACCACCCCACTGCACGTCACCGTGGTATTTCCCAAGCACTCGTAGAACTGTAGTCTAGGTTTTTGTGGCCAAAAATGGCAGCGGATATCAAACTTTATGTTGCTTCCTGTTCAGTCTGTCAGGTTATTAAATCAAGGTAGGTTTTGTTGACAATTTCTCCAAGTAGATTAAGGTGTGTGTGGTTAGAGGGGCAACAGCACAGGTGGCAGCCAGTAAGTTTGTCAGTGAAGTATTCACCAGACACAGTGCCCCTACCTGTCTTAGAAGCTCACCATTTGTGACTGAGCCGTTTGAGCACGTCAGCTCCACCCTAGGATCCATGCATTACAGCCTGTCACCCTCAGACTAAAACTGTATTATAAGCTTATTTTGGAATCTTATGACAATCAAACTTCATGGAATAAGTTTCTTTCCCAGATCTGCTTTGGATTGCATATAGCTCCTCCTCCTTCATGGATGGATACATAGTGTCATACCCAGAAACTCTTAGAGCCTTCCTGCTGGAAACCCATAACAAATTTAAACTTTTTAAAAGTTTTGTATCCTCTTATGTCTGGTATAAAACTAATACAGCATTTTATAAAAAGATCATGCCAACAGTCAAACAAGATGGTGTTAGTGTGATGGTCCGGGGCTGCTTTATTGCTTCAGGACTTGGATGACTTACCATAATTGATGAAACCATGAATTCTGCACTATTCCAGAAAATCTTGATGGAGAATGAAAACACACCAGCAAGTCTAGCTCTGGATGGCTCAAATGAATAAATAATAAAAAATTAAAAAATTAAAAAAAGAGTTTTAGAGTGGCCTAGTCAGACTTTTAAATCTGACTGAGAATCTTTGACGTGATCTTAAACAAGCCATTCATGGTCAAAAACCCTCCAATGGGGCTGAGATACAGTAAGATAATTCTGAAAAGAAGAGTGACTCGAGAGACTCATTGTCAGTTATCCGAAATGCATGAAATCAGTTCTTGCTGCCAAGAGTGGCACAACCAGGTGCAAGGAGCACCACTTTTTTCACATAATAATAATAATAATAATGTGTACGTGTTAGTCCCCATAGGGAAATAGTTCCTCTGCATTTAACCCATTCACCCAGTGAAGCAGTGGGCAGCCACCAATGCAGCGCCCAGGGAGCAGTGTGTAGGGACGGTACCTTGCTCAGGGGTACCTCAAGGTAGCCGTTCAGTAGAGTTGAACCCCCGACCTTCCGATCATGGGGCCACCACTCTACCTACTGAGCTATCCCTGCCCCGGGGTAGGTTGGGTAGGTTGGATAGCCTTTTCTTTTAATAAATAATATCATCATTTAAAAACTATTTTGTATTTGTGTAGTATTAAATTGAGTGAAATATGTGCTATAAATATAAATATGCAAAAATTAATTATATTTTTTTTAAAGCACTGTAGATGACTTGTAGAAAGAGAACTGCCAAAAAGTTAAACTTAGTGCTACTTTCAGAAAATCATGTGCCACTAAAAACAATATCTGGAAGAATGCATTTTCTTTCTTGGTGAACAGTATGTACGCACACGGATAAGGTAGACCTAAGTTATAATGGTCCTAGTTTGTGCCTGGCCCTTACGCCCTTTGGTGGTTAAACAAAATTAAATCACTTGACCGAAAAGAAAAAAAGAAAAGGAGAAAAAGTGGGTCGGTGTAAGATGTAGCACTGTGGTTATCGTTTGTATTCCTGCACTTTCATCTGTGTCAAGTTGCACCAAGTTTATTTGTAGAGTGCTTTTAGCCAACAGGTCTGAGTGCTTTATCGACAACAGTTTAGAATGGGAAATAGAGCAATTACATCACAGACTCAGAGAAATGGGGTCACAGTGTGTGTGTATTTGGAAGTGGGAAAGTAGTATGTTGCCTCTGTGAACATAGTTTGATGGAATAACACGTGAGCCTGTTATAAAAGCTGAAGGTGCTGTGTGGTGGAGTGGATGTAAGCTGAATTTACCAATGGATGTTTATGACTCAGGGAAAACATTATGTCATCTTTCTCTCAGTCTTGCTTTGGACACTAGCTACCATCTCGTGTTTCAGAATATCACATCTGTCATTACTCTGTGTCAAATGGCACATGCTGGACACTCAACTTCTGGTGTAGAATCTGGAAAATGGATGGATGGAAGGAAGGAATATAGGCTTGGTTGTAGCAGAGACAAAAATATCAACACATGAAAATTGGAGATGCACTGATTGTTTGGTTTTATCTAACTGGCTCGGACCAATGATTGGTGGATTGCCAACTGATATATTCAATTCTGTGTTGATGTGACACAGTTGATATTAACCATTGCAGAAATGTAAATACATGTCACATTGACATATACTTCAACAACAGTAATTGTTCTGCTTGTTAGCAATATGCTGTGCAAACATGCAGTGAGCTTTAATTGTATGTGGTCGCCTTATGCTAACACAGTATCCTGTTATCTGCCAGTGGACATGTGTGCATAGGGTGCATCGCATCCCTGTGTCTCCTGTGAGAGTCTGTCATGTCCTCTGTGTAGGTTTCCTCGGTCATGTCTGCATCTCGGTAATGTCTCATCTCCATTTACTTTCCCCATGTTCCTCTCCTTGTGTTTCATCCCTCTCGCTCCCTCGTCCTCTGTGTGTCTTAGTCGTGTCAGGGTCTTTTGTCCCCCTGTTTATTTATCCCCGTCTCTGTGTCAAGCCCAGGTGTCTTCGTCTATGTCTCTGTCTGGTTCCTGTTTATTTTGACAGTCTCTTGTCCCGTGTTCAGTGTGTTTAGTTTTGCTTCCCTTGTGTTGTTATGTTTAGTCATCCCAGCTGTGTTCCCAAGTGTTTTCTTCTCCCTAATCATCCCTGTGTGTACACTTTGTGTCAGTTTTCCTTTGTCCCTTGTCGGATTGTCTGTTTAATCTTCTGTGATCTCAGGATTTCCATGTTTCTTATTTCCATGTTTCTCTTGTCTTTTTCCAGTTCAGTTAGAGTTTATGGTTTCCTTTGCCTTTGTTTTTGTACCCTTACCAGTCAATAAATTGTCTCGCTTTTGGTTAATTCCCGTTTCACGCCTCGTTCCATCTGCATTTGGGTCATCACCTCAAACTCCAAAAGTCTGCAGCCATGGAGCATGAGTCACCTCTCTTTTGGAGTTGCTTTTTTTGTGAAAATAACTACATTTGGTTAATGTAAAATAACGCAATCTTCCATGCTTGGCTGGTACTCTTGTTTTTTTAGTTACAGAGCAACACAGACATGTAACACATGACAGACATAGTGAGATATTCAATTCATTTTCAATTCATCAGCTTTGGATTTATACAAAAATGCTCTATCCAGAAATCTAGGGAATTTCATTTAGAGCTACAAAGTGGCAACCTAGAATTCCCAGAAGAGATTTTGTGTGTCTGAGTATGTACCTTTCTGCAAGGCCTCTCTTAGTTAGGCCTGATATAGTGATGGGGTCAAAAGGCTCCTCAGTGCCAGAGATGGTGATACCCAGAGGGCCTCCGTACCGCTTCAGTTCCACTGTGTATATGATGCTGCCTGATGTCTCCTGCTCATCTGATACACACAAACACACATACACGCACAAGCAGTCACACACAGAGACACACACACACATTAATCTAGTGTTTCAAGTCTGAGGAGTACATTATACCGTCTGATGGATGCTTCTTATCTGATGCACACGCACACAAAACACTTCAGGTCACTAAGTAATACTGGATCCCATTACCTGCTCACTGGAAATGTGCACACACAAACACACTTGATTCCAGAAGTAGGTCAAAACGCTTCTTGAGACTACACTGGTAGGCAAGACACAGTTTCCATGGTAACCAAGGAAAAGACTGCCTTGTCATCATATAGCATGCACACATGTTATTTCCTCCTTGTGTGTGTTTGTGCCTGATGACTACAGTCTCATTATTTACCCTCATTACACAGTCCCTAACCTAGTTTGTGTGTGTGTGTGTTTACGTCACATTATATAACTTGAATGTGTTTATGTGTATGAACAAATACAAGGTGTAAGCTGTAAGACTGTTAAAATGTGAATATGCGACCATGCACAAAAGTCCTTAGATGGATTAGGCCTCTAGGCTGCTGCTTGTTGTTTCCAGTTCCCATAATAGGTCACTGCACATTTTTCTATATAAAATTATACTATATTGTAAAAACATGTTGGATTTATGTTGTAATTTATAATACATTCTTTGTTTCACATGAAGACCATTTTAGTTGTGTCGGTGTCCCAGAGTTTTGGACAATAGTGCCACCTTGTGGTCAAACCTCATTAGTACAGCTTTCTTTTTTTTCTGACGGTAGCTGAAATAATAAACTGAAGAAAACTTAAAACATTAGCTTATCTCAGGTCAGAGCTCTGTCCCTCAAATATAGAAACAACTATATTCACAGAAGTACCTGAGTTGTCTTCATCTTTACGTATTTTTAATTTGACGAGTTCCTCACACTGCTGGAGGATCTGCTCCGCGTCATCTTTGGAACAGTTTTCAAGTCTGATGTTGTCAATAGCCAGCAGCTTATCTCCAGGCTCCAGTGTTCCTGTTCTGGTGGTGAGAGAGTGAAAGAATAGAGAGTGACAAAGAAAAAAGAGAGAAAAAGTCAAAGCATTTGAGACTCTCTTAGATATTAATCAAGCGCTGAAGTAAAAACACTTATGTTACTAAGTTGAATAATTTCTATAATTTCAAATTTAAAAGGGCTCAATGGAATTCTAAAAAAAGTGTAACTTTATGAGTATATGATATGACATAGCTTGCTCCTCAATATATTAGTTGGAAAATAAATACAACACCCATAAACCCAGCCACCCAGAAAAACAAAAACCTGTGTTGAGCTGGCTAGTTTTAGTGGTCCTTGCTATGTAAGTCTCCAAACCTCTATATAATTTATATTGTTAGAAAGTGGTAGTACTCACTCTTACTACTTACTTTTGAGCACTATTCAGCTGCTTATTAACACAAAAATCTGAGCCCATCCACAAGGCAACAACACAGTGCATTTAAGTATATAAATGTAGTCAAAATGATCCCTTTAGTATTAAATGTCCATCATTTCAACACAACCCGAGCATAAGATCTATTTCTTTATGACTGCAGTGTACCCGTCTTCTGATGTTAGAAAGGTGTTTGATACTATCGTGTTAATATGGACCAAAAAAATTTCTTCCAGTGTCCAGCACGTTGCTGGATATAGGACACAAAGGATTAAGGCAAGGGGGTCTATGTTAAAGCTCATATCACTGTAACTGTGTATTACTGTGAACAAGAGAAACACACATGACTAGTAAAGTCTGGTGTCCTTTAGTTCTTAGTGTGCAATTCACTCTAAGATTAAAAACAAAACAAAATAGCCCAGAAGGTGCTACATTGTAACAAGTGTCATAAAACACAAGGACAAAGTGAACTATAATATGGATATAAATTCAAAAACAGAAAACAAAAAAAAAACCAAAAAAACCCCAGAACAAAATTAAATTGAAAATAATTTTTTTAAGGTGGCAGACCCCCCCCCCCCCCCCAAAAAAAAAGCGAAACATGCAGTCCTTACAAAGGAATATAACACTAGTCCCTAAAAAAATACCTGTGAGCCATGCTCCCCTTCTTGATGTCAGAAATGATAAGAGGCTCCCCTGGCTTCTTACTGGCTGTTAAGGTAGATGAAACCATAATAAGATTTAGAAGGAACAGCAGCAACAACATCAAAATATAACATGTCAGTCAACAAATAAAAACAACAACAACAACAACAACAATAATAATAATAATAATAATCAGTTCAATATAAATAGTAACATTAAGGTTGTATAGTCGTCCATCCATCCTCTAATATCACCTCTTTAATCCCATCAGGACAAATTGCCTGCACGCAGATTTGTCACAATAGCCAACATTTTGGGTTCCCTGCTCTCTGAGCGTGAGCCCAGAAGCTCCATGTCTTTGCTAGCTGTGAATATTTTCTGTTCAGCAGGTGGCACCATTGCACCATTCTCTTGTCTCAAATGTGGCCAAGGAACAACCTGCTTTATACCATTTTATATACACCATACATCAGAATTGTGACAATATAACGTAATTTGAGGTTATTATCATTAGTTATTTAGATGGTTACAACTATAACACATCACTACAATGTCACTGAAGAACAAGGGAGTAACTAAATAATAAAATCCCACATTTCAGGGCTGAAAATGACCAGAGGTAAGAGAATTGGTTTGATTTGGACATTTGATTTACATGATAGCTCAAACATCCGATCTCTTTAGCTAGGAAAGTTGAAATAAGGACAAAAATGTTTTTATGCGCTTAGACTCGCTATAGTTACACTATAGTATACTCTCAGTTATCCTGTAGGACTGGTTTGCAGAAATAACTTGAGAGAGCTGCACTGTTTCTGCGGTGCTTATGTCTTCAGCTATTTTTCTTACACGATATATATATATACAGCACTTTTAAATGCAAATGTGTGGCAGGGATATGAAATGTCACTTGGTATCAGCAAACATCAGAGGCAGGCATAGTAGGCATGTGCAGATACACACAAGGTGCACACAAGGTTTTTAGCATTGATGCCTAATGTAAGAAGGGATAGAGAGAAAATAAGAGAGACTAAAAGAAAGTACATTCACAGCTGCATCTCCTTCAGTACCCCCCAATCATGTTGAGTGGACAAAGGGGGCATGTGGAACTGGCAACGCCAAAAAGATACACAAAAGCAGGTTTTCTCTGAGGATTTAATGACAGCATTTTTACAGGCAGTCAAGACAATCTTTAGGAGCCAGATATCACACCTCGATTTAGTATTTACTCCAAAACACAGACAATGATTTACATCACCATTAAAAAATATATAACATATTAAGTTAAGGCCCAAAATCCTAGACATAAAAAGTGCATATTTTCTTTAAAGAAATTCAACATAGTGGACAAGAAAAAAAAATAGGCATTGCCTGCTTGTTTTCTTCCACACAACCTCCAGCAAAATTGCTGGGGCCCAGCCGTCTTCAATTATCTTCTCTTTAAATATTTAAAAATGTGTCAGGTTCAGTATTTCGCCTGTCACTGAGCTAATGCTTCTTAAAATAATACAGCGTGGAACACTACAATATACCCACATTCCAGGCTAGGTATAATTAAACACTGAATTTAGGTCATTCCCAGTGAAGAATGAAGACTGTGCTATAAAGCTTTACAGATACAGTTAGCGTGTGATGAATTACTTTCTCAATAACCACTTTTGACTGGCAGAATAATTCCAAGTCTGCAGGGTAAATGCGCAAGTGTGTGCTTTTATTTTTGATTACAAATGTTTAAGGCAACATTGTACTGTATACACTACATGACCACTGATCATTGCGCCCATGTGTTCTTTTTGAACATCAACTTTGGAAAGGCTCTATGGATTCTGCAACATAAATTTACTCCTATTTATTTAACACACAGTGAGTTTGACCATTGATGTTAGCGGGTAGCTCATAGCCAGTATTTTTGTTCATCTCATAGTATATTTAATGATACCGAGAAATGTGTTTCACAAAAACTAGAAAAATTAACCCTGACCTTGTGCACTCGAATTCAAACTAACATCAACCTACGAACTGCTGCCACAAAGTTTAGCTTCAATTTCTTTTCTTTATTGCAGCGGCACCAGGCTCATCAGTAATTCAGACGTCCTTTTACAGTTCCCTGCAGGGGGATTCCCTGATGCTCCAGCTCAGATGAGATATATATTTTCTCCAGTGAGTTCTGGGTCTACACTTGGATCTCCTCCAAGCCTGGAGAATCTCTAAAGGAAGGTACCCAGGAGGCATCCTTATTAAATCCCCGAACTACCTCAGAGGACATCTTTTGATGAAAAGGAGGTCTAGTTCTACTGCAAGCCCGCCTTAAAATTTTGGAACCTGTCCCCTAATGCAGGGCTATGTCTTAGGCTGTGAACATAGACAAACAACAGGTGAGCAGTCATTCATGTTTTTCTGCTTTGAAGTCCATCTGATAATTGCATGCATAGTTATTGCATAGCAGTGTGGTGTCTGAACCCAACAGATCTATGGAGAAAACTGATTTTGATCACTTAGGATCTCTTTCTTTTGGTCGCTACTTAAAGCTCATGATCATAGATGAAGTTGGAAGAATCAGGAGATGGAATCCAAAGTATACCTTTTCCTCTCAACTGTCTCTTCTCAACAATGGACCATTAAAGTGAAGTTCAAAGCTTAGTCAAAAACATCACTGTAGAGATTTTGTGTAGATTTTCCTCAGTTGAAACTAAGTGACTTATCTCTAACTGAAAAAATGCTGGACACACAGTGTAATGCTAGTGGCACCAGAAAGACAAACAATATCTACAGCATTTAATAAACATTGTTGGAATTTATAGCTTAGCTTCTCTGCAGACTTTGTTATCATAAAAAATGCATGTGGGTGGTCGAATGAATTTTAAACATTCTGCCAGCAGCTGTTCAAAACAAAAAGTGGATCACATGAAAAATGTTTCAAGTGTGTGTGTTCCTACCACTGATGGTGAGCCCCAGTTCCACTCCTCTTTTCTTCGGCAGTTTGACGTGGAAAGTACCACTGCTTGGCACCACTGATTCTGCAACAGAAACACAGACACACACTTAAGCATAACCAGAGAAACAAGTAATGTAAAAAGAAACAGATAATACTCTCCTACATGGCAAATGGGGACTGTAAATCCTCATTGTTTGCCTACAGGAGTAAATACTAATTCTACCAGTAAAACACCTTTAAAACTGTAAGCACAGCAACTACGTAAGGCTTTCTGACTCCTTACTTGGATCTGTTTCTTACTTTAGAGTTTTTTTCGCTCACCAAGAAAAGGTCATTTAATTTCCTGAACAGCTTGTGCAGGAAAGCAGACAACAAAAGAAATCTACTCAAAATAGTTAAAAAGGAAAACACACTAACAATCAAGCAAACAAAAACCAATATAAATATAACACTGGGTGAATACTTACCACCCAAATTTAGGGTTATTATCAGTAGATCTAATAAATCTATTCTTTTTAATTTATAGAGTTAGTTATGAGCATCCTTTACCTCCAAATTATCTGCTAGCCATATAACTCAATGAGTGAAAAAGCTACTATTAATAACTGCAGAGACCTCAATCAAACACTTAAATTGTTTGAAAATTCCCACTGACTACCTAAACTGCACAGTACTTTATTTTTTCACAAGGACTTTTTACACTTACAGGTGTAAAAGTACATGCCTGGATGTATAATTCTATTATACTACACATGTATTTTTTTTACCAAGTCTCTTTTGAATCATTATTATGAATAACAACAAAAAACCAAAAATGACTTTTTGAAAAATTATATCAAAGTTAAAAAAGAAAGCAGGTCATTCAGCCTTCACTTACTAGAATGATGAAATTATAGTACTGAACAGATTCCCTTCAAAAGAAGCACTACACTGTATTTATTTAATGTAATTTGATTCCTAAAAAATAATCTTGGATTGATGTAATCCTAATCCGAGTTTAACATTTTCCAAAATGGAATCTGTTGAGACTTTTCTTCTACAGAGAAATCAGAAATAAAGACCCTGAATGAACTCTTCATACTTTCCACAGGGGTTGACAGCATGTCAATGGTGCCATGCTCTGCAGTGAAGAGCTGTATTTATTCTGTCTAATCCTGCCTGTGCTAACACAAAAGCTCACAGCACAGGAATCTCACCAGTATATCCAGTCTGTGAAAATGAGATTATATGTGCTTTTTAAACAAAGGTATGTCTTAAATGGGAGCTATTAAAGAACACAAAGGTGTCTTTCTATTTTGTGAAAACGTTTTTCAGGCTTCACAAATTAGCAAGGAATATGTATGGTGCATGTATGACATGGTATAAGGTCTAAAACGTTTTGCCAAGTTTACAAACCTGCTACATCAAACTCTATTTCCAGTGTGACCTTATTGGTCAATGCAGCATCTCGGAGGAGCTGATTGGCTTCCTCGAGTGTTCCGTCTTCTGTGGGGATTCCATTGATCGACAGAAGACGGTCTCCTACCTGCAGCAGGCCACACCTAAGAGAAAATCAAGACGCTTTAGTGATTGGAAAAGCAATGCTTCCATGCTTGACAGGTTGCAGAGAAGAAAGTGGAAAAAGCAAAACAAAAACTCTCCAGCCCTCATTTTATTTTACCAGTGCAGCAAAGTGTGTAATAGTTTCTCCCCTATCTACAACTTCCAGTAAGGTTTTTGTTTTAAAATGATTTATCTTTTTCAGTTTTCTGTGATGCTCTCAGGATGTAAAAAAAAAACAACCTCTTACAAAACTGCAGAAAGACTAAAAAGCAACACATAAACAACACGTTTCCTCTTTGATTTGTCATTCACATGTACATGCATTGTGCTAAGAAAGTTGTGGTAGTATTAACTAATAACCAGTGTGAATCTGAATGAGGTTTTCTTGCTTTTAAAACAAAACTCATAAATTCTGGTCTCACACTGAATGGATTTAAAGTACTCTGGACTGTTGGTTTAAATATGAAGAAGTAGTCCACAGAGTACTCTGACAGAAACTTTGCAAAGACACAAATAATGGTAACAACAAACCTATCTCACCTACAAGAGTACAAAATGTATTTAGTGATTTTCATGGGATAAAGCTCAGAATTAGGGTTGGGGTTGATATAATGATTAATATAAACATAAATGTAAAAGTAAAGATTTAAAATTTTTGGTCCTGTTCCTATATATATATCACAAGGATACATATGAGCATGTAGTACGACTCTACATATAATTCATTTCCCTGTGTTTCATATCCATGCATCATCAACAATGAGATTAAAAACAAAGTATACGTTTCCATAAGGCAAGACACCTTTTTGTGATAAACTGTAATCACTATTAGGACTGACATCTTGCTGGGTTTTAAAAGGAAGAGAAGTTTTTTCAATGGAGAGGAAACCTACTGTCATTTTGGAGTGGCTTCAACTAAACTAAAGTTCTCCAGTTATTTGTTTACAAGGACGATCTACTGGAGCGCGAGACCACGGTTTCAAGAACTTTCCAAACATCAGCTCACTCAGGCAGTACACCACACTCAGCATTATGTTCACACAAGCTGTCAGATCCTGCTGCCTGAAATAAAGCCTGTTTGTCTCGCTATTGTCTATGCCTATTTAATATGATTACCTCCAGGGTCAAACTGGTCCCAAGGGGAGAATAAAAATTCAGGCATTTATGTTTGCTAACTGTCAGTAGCTGCCCTATCTGGAATTTTTCCCCCTCCTTCAATTCGTTTTACAGACAGATGACAGGAGAGTAAGCTTATGACTCCCCACTGTGTTACATTTCACATTATTTTTAGATACTGTGGCTTTTATGCTGCTGTTTAGCTATTATTTCCAAAATACACCAACCCTGGCTGCTCATTAAATAAACGACTGTTGGAATTAAATCAAAGCGCATTACCTGTGACTATTAAATTCAGGAATCATGTGCCTTTTCTGTTGATATATTATCCTCTGATATTATTAATATGTCACTGTTTATTCAGACTTAAAGCAATTCCAGCTTTCTTGCTTTTCAAGGATCTGGAAGGAAAAACCTGATGAGAAGATCCCTGTCTGTGAGTCAGACTATAATACTCCAGCCTAACAGAATAAGATAGCTCATGCAGTGAGCTTCAGAAGAAATTAAAAACAAATGCAATGTGTGGCTAAGAAAAGCAAAGGAAGGTAAATATTTGAGTAGCTTAAACGTGTGACTTTGAAACACAAAACTGGCTAAACAATAGAAATATGGAGTGTTTTTGGTTAACTTTTGTGGCTTAAGGGTGAAATGTCAACTCCTAGAATTGACCCAAAGCCATGTTCCTTCTTGCAATGAAATTATTACAACAGTTATCCACTTCTGCACGAAGGTGACATCTGACAGAAGAAAATGAAGATGAAATGTTTTTGTCTCCGTTTAATTCGGCCTCACTGTAATGTAGTTGGTGCCCTATAGATTTCCAGGACATCTAGGTTTTTTCTTTTATGTGACACACATGCACAAATGAGGCACTGTATCTTCCATTAAGCCACGAGTGGGTGACTTGTATTAATATACAGCCAGACATCTTCATTATGATTTACCGAGGATAAAATGGTCTGCCATAGCTCTCATTCCTGTCGTTCTTTCTCCTCCATTTCCCATTAATTGTTCAAGAACCCCAAGTCCTTTCTTCGCTTTTGTTGTCTCATTTTTTTCATTCTGTTTAGTGCAGCCCTATGACTGCCTTGTTGTCGTATTAATTTACACTAATAATTAAATTTTCATCTTCTAACCTTAACTGAAGCCAAATGATAAAAGTTACTTTAACAACAACTAGTCATATTTATAATCCCAGACAAACCTTCATCATCAGGACTATAAATGTGCAGAACTAAACAAGTTAAAGTGGGATTATAATACAAATAGTTGTTTTGTCAAACTCACGCTGCTTCTAAATTTGGCAACAATATCAAGTTCCAATTATTACAGTGAACATCCACCTTCAAACTGCTGTTTGATAACTGACCCATTTTTGTGTGGCTGTTTGTTTAACATTTACTTTGCTGTGTTTTTTTCTGTTTTTAGTGCTCTCTGTTTGCTCATCACTATGCAATCTTCCATTGTAATAGTTGACTGTGCACTTGAAATTTGAAAGTACGACTAAAATTTTAGTATTTTTATTATATTAAAACATATAAAATACACTCCACCTTACATACATCTGTATGTATGGAGTTCTCATGGTGGTTTGTGTACACAGGCAGATAACGTGGCTCCCTGCTGTCTTAATATTACTCTCTATGCCATTATCATTTTTGGGGAAAAGGGCCAAATAAGGCAAGAAATTACTGGAGCATAACTAGGTTTATGCTTTTTGAATCTTTTATTAATAGTCAGATTTTTTTTTTTTTTGGCCCCTTCCTTTTTCAAAAATAAACATTAAATATAGAAACCTTTAGTGGTACAATATACACATTTTAAATTATGGCAAATGGTCTACCATTTACAAAACAAATCTTCCAGCATTCGCAGCACCAAAGGAAAATAATTACAGGTTAAAACCTTAAAAAGAGCTCCACAGACCACTGCTGCACAAATCGTACAGTTTTAAAGGCTATAAGTTGTGGATAATTGTAATTCGGGGTGGTGTAAAGGGGGGTTATTTGGATTCACACTGCCAAGCGGAAAGAAAGGTACTTATCGATTCCTCCAGAGTGGGCAAAGGGAAGCTAGCTAATTAGTGTTGTTAGTGTGGGCGCTAATGGAGTAGGGAGTGTGGCCTCAGGGTGCCGAAACACACCCAGCACTTACAGAAGCTGTTAATATGACGGAAACATCAACATCAATCAATGGACACGGACATAAGCACAGCATCATGATCCAGACACGACTAAGAATTCATACAGAGACTTAAATGAAGTTGTGAACAAATTACTGAGAAACAGCAGACACAAGCATGCAGAAGAATGTGGGCACGCACACACTTGCATGTCAGTGTTCACAAAAAAACCCTACCTACACTCATGCACAGAAATTCTTCCAAACATTTAAACACCCACACATAATACAGAGCCAAAAAGAGCTGCTAATACACCAAAACATCAGTCTAACACACCCATCCACACTAACACTGACATCCAAACACACACAGGGAAGCTAAGTAAAACTCTGTTAATGCAACATTAAAGTCGGCATTTGTCCTCAAACAAACAGAAGGCCATTTGTGCAGTTGTTGTACAACTACACAAATACAAGTGAACATCCTGTTACAAAGTTTTTAAATTACACATCTATAATTTTACTACACTGTAACTGTGAGGAAAGGTCATATTTTACCCATGTCTATTAACAGTTTTTACATGCACCAATGTGGGTCAAATTAATAAGAAAGGTGGTTTTAAGGAATCTTAAAACTTTATATGTCATGTCTGGGTGTATTTTATACGAAACAGTGACAGAGTTCAAAGGATACTTTGACTTTGCCACCATGTTGCTACCATATTTGCTCCACAGAGACAAGCACTAGTTAGTCTTTGAAATATCATGTGGAAATCTCAAAGCAGTATAGGAGTGATAAAATATGGTGCATATAAGTCCCATAGCTACTGAACACACATCTAAATAATACTATATTTTCACATTTTGCATCTTGCACATGTCTTTGTGGGGTGATGGTGGCTCAAGAGTTGGGAGTTCGCCTTGTAATCGGAAGGTTGCTGGTTCGAGCCCTGGCTTGGACAGTCTTGGCTGTTGTGTCCTTGGGCAAGACACTTCACCCGTTGCCTACTGGTGGTGGTCAGAGGGCCCGGTGGCGCCAGTGTCCGGCAGCCTCGCCTCTGTCAGTGCGCCCCAGGGTGGCTGTGGCTACAATGTAGCTTGCCATCACCTGTGTGTGAATGGGTGGATGACTGGATGTGTGAAGCGCTTTGGGGTCCTTAGGGACTAGTAAAGCGCTGTATAATACAGGCCATTTACCATTTGTCCTGTCTCGTCTACAATATCCGGACAATAACTTGAACCTGGTATTCAATACCTACTGCACAATCCACTTTGTATTGTCTCTGTCCCTGTCTTTATTTATCGTACATTTAATATTGTATAGTTAGCATTATAGCATTGTATAGTTAGTAATTAGTACCCTTTTATCCCTTAATTTTACGGAAATTTAGCATGTTATTTATTTGTAAATCCTAGTTTTATATCTCTTGGAGATATATCTTTTATATACTTATAAATGCACCATGGGGGGCTTGGGGTGAAACAGTAATAAAGACAATAAAGTAATAATGACAATAAAGCTCTTGAATCTTGAATCTAAAATAGTCATAATAAGGAAAGAGGGTGTGTTGAAGGGTGGTGCCTTGTAATAGACATGAGATCTGAAATAGGGTGGCGTGGTGATACAGTGCTTAGCACTGTCACCTCACAGCAAGAAGGTTCCCAGCAAGGCTCTTTCTGCGTAGATTTTTCATGCTCTCCCTGGGCTGTGTGGGTTTCTTCTGGCTACTCTGGTTTCTTTCCACAGTCTAAAGACATGCAGTTTGGTTAACTTGTAATTCTAAATTGCCCACAGGTGTGAGGTGCGGTGCTTGATATTGATGGAATAAAATAATGTCTGTATGTATGGTTAAAGTGTAATTAGAAGCACTGAGGAATCACTAAGACTAGGAAAGCACAATATAAATTTAAGTACTTGCATAGTCCAACTACTGCTGTATTTTCAGATCTCAGATATAACTGTGCTTATGGCAGATTTGTATTTAATGTAGGGTAACTTTTACTCAAATTCACAAGATGAGACAATGTGAGATGTTATAGTTTTTTTTTATTCATTTTTATTTCCACACAGGATTGTTGCTTAAAGGAATGAGTTATTTGAAGAGTCCTCTTTCCATCATGTTTGTATATGCCAACTGTGTGTCATGCCTCTTATAGACAATGAGGTTGAAAACACTTGCACAAAGGATACACCTGTGCACCTTCTATATATCCCTTCTGACAAGCCACTTCTGTCCTCTCTCTTCTAGATGCATTTTGGAATTGAAACAGTGTAGCATACTAAAATTGATTTTTGGGTTAATGATAAGACAAAGAATGGAAGTGACTCAGAGGCACAAATTAGCGACACAAGAAAAGCCTGTGACTATATGTCCACAAAAGACTGACTAAAGACACAGACACAGGTGGAAACATGGCTAGCTGGGAACCAGAAATAAAACAATGACGGTGGGGCAGTGAATCACAAAGCAGGGAAACAAAAACAAGACTTTTGACATTGTAGTGCTAAAAAAAAAAAAAAAAAAAAAAGTCAGACTAAATTTGATATTGCAGTGAAAAAGCTACAGATGACAGTTATTGTAGTTTAGATTTAATTTATGCTACAAACGTGCATCCTTATGACTGGGTCAGCATGCACGCTCACCTCTCTGCAGAGCTGTCAGGCTCTATGAATCGAATAAGTGGTGGTGCTGACAGCGTTTCGGTGGCAAATATTCCTCCCTGTAGTTGTACACCAAAGCCGTTCAGTGGGTCACCTGTTAAGACAACCTCACTGGTCTCTACATGAACCACCTGACCACCTGGACCCACCGAACTGGAGGCCAGGGACACTAAAAACACACAGACACATAGATTACAGTTAGTTTCATCCCTTCTGGGAAATTAGATCCATCATGCAAAGACACAGGGAGATGGAACCTACAGGAGCTCTTATGCTCTTTCTTTCTCTGCCGCCGTTTAAGCAGTGAATTACGGGGACTCATGGGAACAGTGGGCCTGGGTAACGTGCTCGAGCTCTGGCTGCTGGGGCCAGAAGTGGTTGTAGAGGCAGGAGAGAAACTGGCTGATACAAGAGCTGCAAAAAAAGAGTGAGGGAAAAGAAGTCTATTTTCAATATTGCAATACATGAGCAATAAATTAGACTTTTAAGAATTAAATTAAAAAACCGAAGAAGTAGATGCTAATAAATCTCTTTCTTTGTCTGGGAAATGGAAAAGGAAAACAAAGAGTCAAAGAGCACATGTTAAATACCGCAAACATGGATATGTCAGGTAAAATTTTCTTGTTTGGTGCTTTATTTTCACAGCATGGCGGCTGAGTAGTTAGCAGTGTTGTCTCACAGCTGTAAGGTATTGGGTTTGGTGAGAAATGTATATGCTCTCCTTGTGCTTGCTTGGGCCTCTTTCGAAACCTCCAGTTTTCTTGTCATATTTCCACATGACCAAAGACACTGCACTGCACAATGCCACGTATATTTAAAATATATGCTTATGATGCTTATCTTTAAATCACAAGATGAGAATTCATAGAGACATCCTTTAAATAGTCTTAAAAATATGTAGAGATTTTTAAAATATATCTTTTTAAACAACACTACATATACATTCCACTGGGCAGCATACATTTGATGTCTCATTTACCCTTTCATCATCAATAAGCCAAATACCATTCGGCAATGAAGTCTAAATTAATGCATACAGCTTAATTTAGACTTCTACTAAAAATTTCTGGTCTTACTTATGTAGTACCAAGTTGTGTTGTGTTTGTGTTCTTACACTTGCAGTAGTCAAGGTTGTTGATTGTGTTGTTGTTAGAGGCTGTCCACGATTTATTGAGGGTCGAACTTGTGTTGCAGAGAGTGGAGTTTGGAGGGGGACAGTAATTAACACAAGGGTCCCAGGAGTGGGGATGGTCCGACTTCTGAACCTTGACTGCAAAACACATGCAATGAAACATGAGCATTGAATTTTAATACTTCTAAAATCAATGGCTAGGTGTAGGCTAAACCAACCTTACACCAACTCTTACATAATTTTAATAATAAAATAATAACAAAATTCAAATGTCTGAACCTAAATTAAAAGTTTCTAGATTTTGTGTACATGTAGCATTGCTCTTCCTATGCTATCAGCCCACTAAATGGCTTCTATCAGGCTAAATCATTGTCACAGATATAGGTAGGAGGTACCCTACCATGTCTGCTATTTGCCAAGAAGGTGAGTTATCATCCATTCTGATCACTGATAAGGAGAAATTAATGCAGATGTTACAGAATTGCAATTTATAAAATTGTGAATTAGAGATTCGGCCATAATAACTCCTCTATAACCTATATAATAGGTATATCTCTCATTATGGCTGTCTTCCTGTTATGTGTACAGCTTGTCTTGCCCCGTGTCTCATCCAAATATGATCACACAGAGCACACATTCCATGAACTTCATGTAATCTTGATTGCCATGGGCTGTCACAGACAGTATCTGTATATTTTTCATATTAAAACCATTCTAACTGCTTGCTGTTTAGCTAGTTAGCTGTGCATTATCTACTTTTCCTCAATGGATTGAATCTTTTAGGCTGATACTGATTGACGTGTCGTTAGACCTCAATGTTTTCTTCACAGAGATCTTGTAACTCTCACCTCACCTGGCCGCTCACCCCGGACCAATTTGCTTTGACCCTACCAGGGGCAAATCGACCCTACATCATAGCCACCCAGGTAACCACTGCACAGAGTAGTTCAAATGTCACCAGCACATCTACCACTTAAACCCTATATGTTTGTCTGTGAAAATCCCAGAAGATCTGTAGTTTCTGAAATACTAGGATCAGGCACCGTCTGGCACTGACAACTATGTCATATTCAAAACCACTTAAATCACCTTTCTGTCACATTCTGAAGCCTGCTTTGAACTTCAGCAGGTTGTCTTGGCTTCGTCTATATCCCTCAAAGCATTCAGTTGCTGCCGTATGTTTGGTTGATTAGCTATTTGTGTTAATAAGCACTTCAACAGATGTAACCAGCAAAGTGGGCTGTGAGTATTTAAGACAGTGATGACATTACTTTTCAGCTTGATTCATTCATTTATCAGTTAAACTCTACAACAAATTTCATCTGAACTGTGATTAAAAGAGATATAAAACTTTTTGGGTTACTAACACTCACATACCAACCAATCAGGCGAACATATTTCCAAAAATACCTATTATATGACAACATATAATTCAATACCTTACTGTATTGCATTTAATCCAAACTAATTTCACTGTCACTTAATTAGGTCCATGAAAAAGTGTCTCTAAGCTACATTCAGCTGCTCCCTTTGTCACAAGTGGTGAGCACAACAGGTGGCTCCACATGTTTGATTTGGCAGAATCCAGAATCCAGATGCCCTTTCTGACGCAGCCGCAAAGACAAGTTGTGTCGGGAATTGAATCAGTGACTATTTGCTTGTTACCCATTACATTATGGAGAAAGAAAAAAAATGAGTTGACTGTGTCATCTGCTAAAAATTCGCATTTCTTCAGTTTTGGGGGAAAACCTCTTTTGAGGAAACTCCCACTGAGAATTTAATGATACAATCGAGGCTGACAACCTGACAATCTACACAGCTTTGTGTGTAATTCCCCCTTTACGCTCGTGTATCTAAACTCTGAAGTTTATCCGAAGCTACTCTGTGCTGTCACAGCCATCCAGCTGAGCTATTGTATCCTCGACGTGTGAGGCCTTTTATCTAAACTACTCTGATGGCAGGACGTGTGAGGAGCGGAAGTGTTGGGCAACCTCGGGGTGAGATCCGTGAAATGAGGAAACATTTTTTCATCTAATCCTCCTTGGGTAAAAATGAAGTCATTATGTCCAGTGAAACACACCGGAGAGACGGTCCTTCTGACAAGGAACGGCAGCAGTAACACACACTGTAAATGCCCACAGACAACAGACACATAACAAAGCCACTTTGAATTAACACTTATACTCATTTACACATGATATATTATGAGAAGATACACAAAACATGAGAACATTCTAAGACACATTTGTGTCTAGATTTACCAAACGTAATCTATGTGGCAAGAAAACCGACTGAAACGTTACTCACACACACAACTGCAAAACCTTTCATCAGAGTGTCTATTAATAAGGCAGCAGCAAGCTGGCTTTAAGGTCTGCTGCAAGGACATCAGTATCCTAATGAGCTGTGTTCATTTCCTAACACACACAAATGCACACATGTACACACAAAGGCGGTCACAAAACTGTGATTAGAAGAAGGAAAGAATAAATTTAGCTTCTTGCAGACAAATGAGATGAGATGGTGACCTTTCGAGTGAACAAGTGTGTCTGTGTGTGCTGTGTTCACACGTGTAACTCCAAGAATGTTATTAAAAATAACATTCTTGTCACTTTAAAATAATACCAGAACACAACAGAGCTATAAAAGAGAAAAAGAGCAAAGAGGAACACTAGAAAATAATTTCAAAATGGAAGGAGATGAACATTTCTGAGATGAGGTATGTGTAGAGAATAAGAGAAGTCAAAGGCAGAGAAGAGAGGAGAGGAAAAGGACAACGGATAGGAGGAGGTTGCAAGCTGTAAGCAGTTTTTGACAGCTGGAAGAGAGGTGTAATGACTTTAATTAAATCCCATCTTGCCTTTACACTCCCTGTCACTCTATTTCTCATTCATGTGCCATTTCTCTTTTCAGCATTCACTTTTTCGTCTGTTTTCATGCTGAGAGCGATCTTCCACCACACAAAAGTTTCTATTGAAAATAGACTAATGGAAAGGTTTTAGTTTAGTTCAAGTCTAGAATATCTAGTTTTTCTTCTCGGTCTTAAAGCTGTTGCCTTAATCCCATCTCTGTCATCCTCTCCTGGGAATCTCTAATCGACCGAAACACATTAAAGATTTTCTTCGAACAAAAAAGATTTTTTTTAAAAAGGTTTTGGGGAAAAACAAAATAAAACTATACAGCGTCTACAAGTAGAGGATCGTGTTGACTCTGATGCGTTTCTATTTATTCACAATATTCATTGTGTGAGTGTGATGTGTACACTTGTCATACTTAAGCAGCCTCAGCTGCAAGCATTAACACATGAACATACGATAAAAAACTAGTTACTGGAATCAGGATTTCCCCTCTAAATCCATTGGCACTAATTCTGTCACAGATGAGAAGCCATCACTTTGCTATGGGTGAGCTAATTAGGAACAAAGTTGCCATTGCGGCCAAATTATTCCTCAAGTAGAGTTGTATTTAAAAAAGAGGCTGAAAGACATCGGAATGAATGGGATTTTTTTTTTTTTTTTTTGCTACTCGGATTTGCATATGCATGAGGTGACTTAATTGTGGCGAAGACTAAACAAACTCTCCTTGGTGGTTTTTACTCTGCTTTTTTTTTGGAATCCGACTTAATAGCTGCCAAATCAGAGCTGACCAGGAATTAAATACACAGTTGGTCATTGTTCTTCAATAATTAGCATTTGTCATGCTAAATATTACAAATACTGCCATCTAACTATGTTTCCTGCTGTTAAATGTCAGTACAGCATGCTCTGGCAAAAAAATGTCTGTTTAATTTCATAAACATGTATGCAACAAAAACAAAACAAAGCAAGTGATATTAAAAATAAATAAATAAACTGTTAAGTGATTAAGTGATTCTGAAGCTCTGGCTCCAAAGGTATACTACACATGAAGAGTGATGAACAAAGCTGTGCATGGGTAGAAAGACAATTTAACAATTTTAGGAGTCATACCTATTCAAATAAGAGCAATGCAGCAGGCTGAAAAGATGGCAGCATCAGCCGTAGAGGCTTGAGCCCACAAACAGAGTTGAATCATCATGATTTAACAAGGTTGTTCCATAATTACCAGTGGCTTTTTTTTTTAACTTTACCCAAATGACAGATAAAATATTGACAGATAAAACTGTAAAATTTTGATTACTAAAATAACCAAAGAGTTTACTGTGAATCTGATGGTCCTAGCTGTTACACTCACCCGTGTCATGCTGTTTTCCAGTTAACCTCGTTTGATGCGAGGGAAGAATTTCTAATTTAACCAGTTCTGTTGTGCTTGCTATTAATTGTGTTGCCTCCAGAACCGTACAGTGCTCTGTTGATGTCCCATCAATAGACAGCAGGTGATCCCCAGCATGCAGTGCTCCACATCTAATACAAAAGACACAAAAAGAGAATAAGCACAAAATGTTATCGCCACAATACACTGGATAAATAAACAACACAAATAGCTTCCATTCTGTTTCAGAAAAGCTTTTTTTTTTGTTCTTTTGCCAACAGTATATAAGCTAAACACATTAATCTGCTTAGCTCACAACGGCATGCTGCCGTGCTGGTCAGAATGATATCGCTGCTCTTCACACAGGGGTTAGATTTTACAAACTGACTTTGCAATCATGTGGGAATGAATAGTGCCAGAGCACAGACCTCTGCAGTCAACTTGTCCTGTTGACTGAGGTTATTTTAGTACTCATTTCAGCACTGACACAGAGTTCAAGTGCTTCATGTATATTTTAGAGGTAGACTGGAGCTGAAAGCAATATCCCGTCTTCTGATGTCTGTGTAAGTTATAAGGTTGGACACAGTCTATGTGTGTTTATCTGTGTCTTTCTTACACAGAGAGGATATGCTGTAAACATAAATGCAACCACTGCAAATCTGTAATCCAACAGCAGAATCAAATTAGATCTTGAAGGGGAAACTATAAAGTCCACCATTTTTCAACAAAAGAGAAATATACAGCTGACAGATGTTTGCAAAAGTGTATACCATATATTCTTGTGCACTAGCCCTGTTCTCAAGAAAATAATTTTTATAGCATTCCAATACATAATATTCTTTTAATGGTAACTTTGCATCAAACAAACCAACCAGACAGACAGACAAAGTAAGGAAACAGTTCTGCAGAGTGAAAACTGTCCATGAAGTACTTACTGTGGATTTAAACTGTACTGAGCTACAATGTTGTCTTAATATCTGAAACATCTCAGAGCTTCTTTCATCCTCTGTTGTAGTTTGACAGCTAACAGAACAAAACTCACTCAGAACTTAAAGGGTAAATCTAGGCAAAACTACAGCTGGCATGTATGCAAACACATACATGCCAGTTGTGTTTCTAAGAATATTAACTCTGTTTAGTGAAAAATTACAGTTAGCCAGCATGTTTAAATGTGACACCAAGGATTCTCTTACATATGATAAGTTAGACTGAGGCTGGTTGCACTAATTTCACTGTCTAGGGCATCACAGCTCCCACACCAAAGGAAACTTCCTGTGGGTCTGTAAGACATCAGTGGGTTTTAAACACTGAGAATGCCTGGAGAATGAGTAGCATGTAGATACATACCTGTCCACCACGCTGCCAGGTTTAACCCGGTCGATGACAATGACCTGTTTGTTTTGATGATTGGCTGAAGTCAGCGTGATGCCTAGTGTTGCTCCTGGAGATTTGGCTATTTCCACTAACAGTGGACCAGATGCATTTGCCAGTGAGTCTGAACGGGAAAGAATGAAGTTATTTTAATAATTTGACCTTTTACTGCTTGCTGCTTCTTACAGTCTTAAAATGATCTTAGAGTAATCTAGAAAAGTACAAATACCTTAAATATCTGTTTCACCAAGAACAGCACAGTGAAAAAGTTTAAGAGCATATATGTCCTTGAAAATATAACCAGACATGATTAGCAGGGGATTGCTTGCAGTGCTTTTCGGGCAAGTTAAACTGAGCTGTTTTACCCAGAAAAATGAGGCAGACCTTAGCGTGAGGTGGCAGAAAATGCCAACACATCAACAGCAATCACAACTAAAGAATCAACCCCAAAAAAACATTTTTTAAAATTTCACTGGCATTTGAGAAAAAATTAATTTTGCTGCAAGCTTCAATTTGTGTCTCTCTCTGTTATTTTGGCTTTTTTTTTTTTGCATATGTCTGTGTGTCTACATGTGGACTCACCGATGATAGTTACATCGTACTCAATTTGGAACAGGGCTTCCTGGCCACATTGGGCCAACACACTGAGAGCATCACTGTGGTTTGCGTTGTGTAGTGGCACACCATCCACACTGAGGAGACGATCGCCAGGGCGCAGGGTACCTTCTCTGCATGCAGACACGCACACACATCCAAAAAAATGACATTGGATTTTGTGATACAGTGATTACAGAAGACAGGGATTGGACATTACAATTTGCATGTAGTTCCAGCTTTCTTTCTTCCATAAAATTCTAGCGTGTTTAATTTTAACACATCAACAGTTTATTGTCCTTCTTCACTATTCCTTTTACCATCACTATTTCAATCTGACTTCAGATTTGCCTATCTTGTGCCACTAGGAAAATATTGCAAAAGCAAGCATATAATGTCTGTTAAAAATGACGAAATATCAAATGCCAAACCTTCCCTTTTTTTCCCAACATATTCTGTGTTCTTCATTCCTTCCACTCAGCCCTGTTTGTTCTTTTACTTAGTTCTTCATCTTGCTCATTTCCTTTCTGCCCAGCTAGATCCAAGCCTCTTTCTTCTCCTAACTTTCACTTCCACAATATTGTCTTGTGATCTCATCATCCTCTTTTCTCTCCCCTTATCTGTCTGAGACTTGCAGTAAAAAATTCACCTTCATTTCAAATCAAGGACACACATGGAAACAGCATGAAATGTCTTCAGCATTTAAAATGTTGGTCTGTTTTCAGTGCCTGGTTAAAAAAACAACAACAACGAAAGCAAACAAACAAAAAACACTTATACAGAGAGATCCTCTGTGTTTTTAGAGGCACTCAGGAGGACCGTTTAGGCAATTTTTTACTTCCACAAAAATGGATGTGTAACATTTTGAATTTTTAATGCAGTGCGCCACATCAGAGCACTGATAGATGCTTTATGCTGATGTCAGAGTGCGAGTAACACTGAGCTGTAATCATACCAGCCAGATGTCTTCAAACAGGATGCTGATTGCCCTGAAGCCTTTCAACATGATGCGAGCTAAGCTATAACCCCGAAGGCTCTATTGTGGCAGGAATTACTCCATGTGACAGGAGTATTTCTTGACAGATTTACACATTTTTCATCGGTTTTCAATATTGGTGCAGAATAACATACATGGTACATACAGGGTGTCGGATAAGCACATGAAAAGGTACAATACCAACAGGTGATTCCAGGAAAATTTCAGGGAATTTAAAATTTAAAGGTTCTACCATATGTTGATTGAAACAGATAAGCTTTTAGAACTTGACTGATATTTAACCTGTTTTTAGACCTGCAGGGTATCTTTCTATCTGTATCTGACAATGAAGTGAAAGCAGTTTCTTTGTGGTCCTGTAAAAAACACCATGGATCTCTAACACTTTCAGAGAAGGCACTTTAATTCCCACTGGGTAATTCTAAAAATGTAGACACTCCTGGGACTGTATGGTGCTGTGGATTAAGTTTTTTTTTCCCAATTGGCATATAAATGGGATATAAAACAGCATGAATATCTCATTCGTTTCCCCAGGACTGACCCACATTTTGAAGACGATTTTCTTTAGAACGGTATTAGATGAGCTTCAGGGTGAAATAACTCAATAGTAAGAATTTAATCTTTAATCTTTGTCCTGGTCTGCCAGTTCTGTCTGTGAACTAGTGAAGGTTCAGTCACTCTGTAAGGCCGTGTAATGTGTGATTATTTGATGAAGGTTTACACTTCTGTATATACAAATGACCAATTTGGCAACATCATTATATATCTGATGGGTCAGCAGTCGCTTTGACAAATCTAAGATGGATTTACAGCAACAATCAAGCCCTTATGAATCAAACGAAACTGTAAAATATCTTAATCAGTAGAAAGACGAGGCATTAAGTACTCAAGCTTAGTACTTTGGCACTTTTGCATCTGCTTTAAATATTGCTGCAGAGCAATCTCAAAACAGGACCTGTCAGAATAAAAATAGCAACTTACAGTTCGAATTTCTAGGAGGAAATGATTGCAGCTGCTAAGTGATCAGAGAAGAAGGTTATATTCCAATGTTTTGTTGAAAAGGGACAGCTGAGTCAATCATGTTCTTCAAAATTGGAAATGTTGGGTGCTGAAGTTTGCCTAATGCTAGTGTTGATGTGTGACAATCAGATGTAAGATATTGCTTTATTACAAACCTCTAAAACAGGCTCAGTGGTCCTTATTGTGTAATAAATGGCTTTCCTATTTTGTGTTTTAATGATGGTGGGTGACAGCAGATCACTCTTAAAGCTCAGTGATTCACTTGTAATCACATAATTTTCACATTCAATCAATTCGTTGAACTGAAGTCCTTTGAAGCACACCGACTGAAAAACCAAACTGCTTTTCTTTTGTCTTTTTTAATGACTTTTGTGCTTTTAACTTTAAAAACAGTTTGAAAGAAAACCTCACAAACACACCTCCACCAGAATATATGAGGTCTGACTTTCTATAAATGGTGGACTTTCTTTGGCCATCACAGTTATGGATATCTGTATATGTATATCTATATCCATTTTAAACATGGAAATTAGTTTTATTTCTAAAACAATATTATTTACACCATTTCTAGATGGTTTAATTATTACTGTGTGAGATCAGTTAAACAGTAGCAAAGCTGACATGTATATGAAAATGTCGTATTATGACTTAAACATCAAGCCTGAGACAGACACATGATGACAACATTAAAAGGATACGATGATTCATGCCATTGCAGCTATGAGTAACACATAACTGTCGACATACCAGTGACGGTCACTGGAAATGACACCATTATCCTTGGGGTCTATTCGCATGAAGGCACAGACAAATCTCCCAGACTCCCGACGGGAATGGGTTGAGCTGTGCTGTTGTTAGTTTACACTCAATGGAGGCCACTTCTTGTCTGGCTTTTATTTCTCCCAGACATTATTTTTAATGGGAAGACATTGCCCTTTTCACCTTCCAAAATGACTAAATAATCTCTATTTCTGGGTATTTCATGTGTTTTTTATGTTTGTTTAGATATGTCAGTGTAACTGTGCTGGAGTATTTGCATTCACACATATTGATGCATATGTGTGAATGCAAATGCATTAAAGGGCATAAATGAAAATCCAACATGGCAGGTCTTAATGAGTTCTTCCACCATTATGCACCGCCAGTTTAAATGCACCTTGGTAGTGATTCTTTGTAATTCTGTTTAAGGGATAAGATACCGTTCTCAGAAAGGATATTCTGTTATTTGGTGTGTTTTGTAGGTATTGGAGAACACAGTCTAACTAGACGGCACAAAGTCTCCCATAGATGTTCAACTGACTTTAAATCAAGTGCCTGCAGAGATCATAGAATGCATTTCATATATTTTTATACTTATCAAGCCATTGAGTGACCCCTCAGGATGAATGGGGGCTATACCATCCTTGAAGAGACCACTGCTATCAGGATAGAAAGGTATCATCACTTAGACCAAGTGCATTGGCTTGCAGTGACACTGCAGACCCAAACCATGCCAGGAAAATGGCCCTACCATTTTCCATTCATTGTCAGTCTATTCGTCCATTCATCACCTACATGTGTGCCAGTTATTCTTGTTTAATCATGCATTCAGTACCTGTCTGCTGGGCCTCCTGGCCTGACATAGGTGACCACTAAAGGGCGTGATTTGTGCCAGTCCTCATGGGTACCGCCTGTAAGAGGAGCAGGGCAAAGCTCTTTACACTAAATTCTGGAGACACATTACAAAGAAATACCACATCAGCTTAATATTTACTTATTTATTTATCTACATTGCAGTAAATAAAAATGTGATACAGCATTTTTTTACCCTTATCCTAAAATGCTTTTAATGTATCATTTGTTGAGAAAATCGAATATTAAAATGTAAACTTCAGATCTTTAAATACAAATTTAGATGAACCGACAAAAACAAAGCAAGGGGAGTGATGTTGTCTTTCTTTTTGGTCTAGACAACCCAAAATGTGATGTGCAGATATGTGGATGCCAGGTCCTAGGAGGTTAACATTAACACTGCCAAACTACAACCATCACAAGGTGGCAGTTCAAAAATATTCCTCTCAGTAGAATGAGTAGTATAATTAACTAATTTATTCATATATTTACTAAGCATAGACAAAATTCCTTTCTAATAAATATGGGAACAGCTGCTGTACAATATATTGCCAACAGTTCAATGTAGTGTAGATGACACCATTTCACTAATATGTTACTTCTAACTAAGTGCATAACCATAAAAAAACATACAGTAATGGGCTTTTTTTAAGTGACAGATACCTCTCATGACGAATCCAAAACTGTTCCCTTCTTTGTGCAAACAGATGTCAATTGTCTTTGATATAACCCCTGAGGTGCTGTCTGGTGCTTTGAGTCAAGAAACACACACACAGAAACACAGAGAGAGAGAAAGAAAGAGAGAATTGAGGGATTAATCTGGCACAAGTAAAATGTATCAGCATAACCTGAAGTTTACATCATGACATTAGAGCACTGATATTTAATGTAGAACAATTAAACAATAATAATTACTTGAATGCTCTTCAATTACACTGCACTACAAAACAAAACAAAAACACTCCTGTATTAAACTATGCATGGTATTTGAGTGTCAATTCAGGATTCCCTTAAATTTCTATACTTAAAAACTACACTTATTATCGTAAAATTAAATATCCTAAAATGAAAATAATGTTCTGAAGAGAGATGTTGAAGGTTCAAACATCCATCAGTGTTGTTTTCTGAGGCAAATCTATTCAGCTAGCCACAGCCTATCAAAATACAACACTGTACAGCTCAATTTGGTTGAAAAATGAAAAGTTGTCTTCTCAGCAAATAATCTAGTTAAATGCCATTCCCATAGAGCATTTTTCCTTTTAAATATTAAAACCCCCTCATTTGTATCATCTCTATAGCTTCATGTAGACTTTGTTTTTAATTGGGTTATGTCACATTGTGTGCTGCACTGTGAGTATAGCTGAGCAGGCCTCTGGGGAGTCTGTAGGGCACATTGGTAGAGCAACATTTGGCACTGCTTTCTTGTAAGAAGATCCTTGGTTTGTATTGTGCTGTTTGGAGAGGTGTTGAGGAGGAAAAGTATCCTTTTTACTTTTCTATCCAATTTAACTAATAGCTTGTCTTTTTGTGGGAATCTTTTCAGTGACATGAACAGATGTCTTTTCAACAAATCTTTTCATTTAGTTATTTTACAGGGTGGACATGTTCAAATGAAATTATTTTTCCTGTGTGTGTTTCCTCAGCATGTGCTGCAGATAAAATAAAATAGACAAGTGTAATAGATCCAGCAGTATAAATATTGTTCAGATGACACAGGACAAAGTTTTATAACGTTAAATAATCTAAAGCTATAAAATGACTATCAGTAAATTCCTATGATTGAGAAGTACAGTAAAGACAGGAGACTGTGCCAAGAGTTTAATCATTTAAATGAATGAAGAAGCTGTCTCTTAGCAAGTAAACAAATGTATCAATATCTAGCGCCAATGTTCAGTATCAATGAAGAAGTAGTATATACTATACATAGTGAGACCTTGGGGTGACATGCGAGTTTTGTCTGTATCTAGCTGTCATTTACATTTACTTTTCTATTCAGAATTACAATATTCATTCCAGTATCCGGCAATTTCTAATGTGATATTGGATAGGACCTTACTGACATCACTAACTCATATCTTAACAACTTTATAAATCACGTAGAAACAACCAGCCTAGCTGTACAAATACATACCTGTGGGGGGCAGTTCATACTCCACCTCCAGCAGAACCCTCTCTCCTACATTTTTCAATAAGCTGATTATCTCTTCGTGCCGCAGTTTGGTCAGATTGATCCCATTCACGGATTTGATGTAGTCCCCAACATTTAACTGGTCACTCCTGCATAAAGAAGGGACAAAAAGATGTAAAGGCTTGCACAAATGAGAAAGGCTTTAACCACATGTTTCTTTTTCCTTTTATAAAATGACCCATTTATGGTACAGAATATTGCTGAATATCAAGACAGTCTGAATCTATGTATTCCTCCTCATCTTAGAGGTTGACTGTGTTTCACTCACCTGGCTGCCAGTCCTCCAGGTCGTAAGTTTGATACACGTGGTTTTCCATCCTTATCAGTTCCTCCTGAGATGGTGAGGCCCAGTGTGCTGCCTTCTTTCTTCACCAGCTCCACCATAGTCACCCCCCGCAGAGCTTCTAACCAAACACACACACACACGCACATAAAAACAATACACACACAATACGGGCAGAGGGAAGGACATACCAATACACACACAGGGATGTGTACACAGACATATGTAGCCACACTCAAACATACAAAATACAGGAGAGGAATAAGTGGTTAGTGTCTGTTCATTCATTCCAATTCCTGGATTAAAGCTTTAATAGTTTCTAAAAGATAAAAAACAACTAAGACAATTGTTCCTGTTTGTCCTTGAGTGAGACACTGATCTCGTGTTGGCTTAAAAGAGCTGAAATGACTAAAACGTAATGTGAATTTCAGACAAGATAAGAATCAGATAATAATAATTAGGAGTGCCCTTTGTCTCTTGTTGTCACTCCACTTGAAGACTTCCTGGCAGGGATGAAAAGGTCTTTAAAGGTTAAAGTACACCAGCAGAAAGCAGAAGTTTAGATCCCAACTTCTCTCTTGACTTTTTGGGACCCCTAACCTCCGATTGCACTTCTTCCATTAAGAGTCTTGGTGTTATTTTTGACAATGCTTTTAAACTTGATAAACAAATCAGCTCTGTAGTTAAGGGATCTTTTTATCATTTGCGGATTTTAGCCAAAGTCAAGTCTTACCTTTGCAGGAACGATCTAGAAAGAGTGGTCCATGCTTTTATTACTTCACGGCTAGACTACTGCAATTCCCTCTATGCTGGCCTAGATCGTTCCTGTCTACATCGCCTTCAACTGGTGCAGAACGCTGCCGCTCGCCTGTTGACCGGTTCAAAAAAAAGAGACCACATCACTCCGGTTCTCTGCTCTCTCCACTGGCTCCCAGTTGCCTTTAGGATTGATTTTAAAATCTTACTGCTGGCTTTTAAGGTTTTAAATGGCACTGCACCTTCTTACCTGTCAGAACTCCTTAGTACTTATCGCCCCAGGAGATCTTTGAGGTCAGCCGACCTGATGCTTTTAGATGTTCCCAGGTATAAATTAAAGACAAAGGGAGAGAGGGCGTTTGCTGTGGCTGCACCCAGACTGTGGAACAGTCTTACCTCCTCACGTCAGACTCTCCAAAAGCCTAGAAACTTTTAAAACCGCTCTTAAAACTCACCTCTTTTCATTGGCTTTTAGAAAGGTTTAATTTATTTGTTTTATTATTTTTTATTTTATTTTTATCAGCGAGGTGTTACTACGAAATTGTGTTTTATTGTATTTTTATCTGTATTTACTGTACAGCACTTTGGTCAGCCTTGGTTGTTTTTAAATGTGCTCTATAAATAAACTTGACTTGACTTGACTTGACTTGACTTAGATCAATTTTCACTTCCAGCTGAGAAATTAACAAAAGTAATCAACACTGCACCTAATATACTTTGCTGCTAAAACGTTATATTTTACAGAATCTGCAACTCTAACTGTCCTTATTAAACAAACAATCAAACAAAAAAGCAAACAAACAAATAATTTAGTAAGTATAATTATTTGAAAAAACTGTCCACAAAATATACTACATTTTCTTGACCAATAATGTTACTTCATTAACTTCGAAATAGCTGTTGTGCACAGTTAAAACTCTAATGAATCCTCTGAAAGAAGGATCAAGGATTGGTGGACCACTCTGACTTTTTCAACATGAGGACAAAAGAACTGTGTAATGCAGAAGAACTACTTAATGCAATATTCCCTAAACACCTAAATAGACTACTCCATGAACCAAAGAACAACATTCATGAGAATTCCATCAAAATTCCAACACTTATTAAAAAACTATTTTTAGAGTGAGTTGAAGTTGTGTCATTTTTTTCGGTATTCTAAAACATATAAGGCCGATTGAGTTTGGTTAAGTCATGATGGGAGTAATTATTACTGGTCAAAAAAAATGGCATGAGTAAGAAAAATGTAAGACTTTCTAGGTTCATGAAAAGGCTAAGGAATTTGGTTCAAAACAGCCAGGGGAATCTTGGGAGATGAATAAGCCTTTACCAAAGTAATAAGTAAACTAAAACCCCAGAGCTGTCATGACATGGTGTTGCCTTCCCATTTGTCTATTTGTATCATTACCATTTACATACACCATGAGCGCACAGAAGCATTCCCATACACAAAAACACATCAACACACAAGCAGATGAGATAAAGCTTTTGTGTGATAGATGCCTAGATTAGGTACATCCCTCAGGCAACACTCAGGATCAGTGAAGTGCTTCACACCACAGTTATCTCTGATAGGCATTATGCAGCATATACAGGGACATGCACATTATTAGCAGAAAGGCACTCATTCATTCATTAGTCCTTGTGCTACTCACATTTGCATAAAAGCAACGCTTTTCCAAATGTAGTCTGGATGATGTGAACATTTTCTGAAGAGAATCCATCACTAATGTTTTTTTCTGCAAAGCTGCAGAACTGAGGATGTTGGAATTCATAAAGTTTTGATCCTGTAGAATGATTTTTATACTGCACAAAAGAAAACTTGTAGAATGATTGATGTACTACAGAGAAATGGGAGGAGTATTACTGTACATGTAATAATGATGAGATAAACGGAAACACTTAAAATACAATAATAATAATAATTATTTTAAAATTTAAAATAATTTAAAAAAAATTCTTAATTTTAAAAGCAAGCAAAGTGACCTAAGTTCTGACTTATGTACAAATTGATAAAGATGTGACCTAAAAGATGATCAGAAAGAGGTCACAGATACATAACACAGAATAATAATAATACTAATAATAGACCTATTTAAAACTTCACGGGGAAACAAGCAGAAAACAATTCTTTTTGAAAGATTCCTTAAGCCTAGAAGAAGTTAATGAAAAGATGATGAAAATATAACTGAAGGCTCTCAACCTTTGACGAGTCATAAATTACAGTTTTCATTCATGTTGTCAATTATAGTGTATTGTTGGGTAATCATCAATAATGAGGAGGTTATAAAACAGCTAAAAAGAGCTAAGGGGAAAAAAAAATCAGTATTAGTCATCAGCTCGACTAAATGTGTAGTTTTGGACCACTTTGGTTAGTCATGACTCAGATATAAATGTGTGCTTTCTAGAAAAGCAGCCAAAAAAAACCTTAGAAAGCTTTCTTAGGTAAGATGTTTACTTTAGAAGACCAAGTTTAATTGTGACCATTGGTAATTTCCAAGAAATACATTTTTTTAAAGCATTGGCTACTGGCTACACCCCTTTAAACAGAATTTTTAGGATATACCTTAAAAAACACAGACAGAGAACAAGAGAGAAAGTGACAGACAGAAAATTACACATTACAGGGAGTGCAGAATTATTAGGCAAATGAGTATTTTGTCCACATCATCCTCTTCATGCATGTTGTCTTACTCCAAGCTGTATAGGCTCGAAAGCCTACTACCAATTAAGCATATTAGGTGATGTGCATCTCTGTAATGAGAAGGGGTGTGGTCTAATGACATCAACACCCTATATCAGGTGTGCATAATTATTAGGCAACTTCCTTTCCTTTGGCAAAATGGGTCAAAAGAAGGACTTGACAGGCTCAGAAAAGTCAAAAATAGTGAGATATCTTGCAGAGGGATGCAGCAGTCTCAAAATTGCAAAGCTTCTGAAGCGTGATCATCGAACAATCAAGCGTTTCATTCAAAATAGTCAACAGGGTCGCAAGAAGCGTGTGGAAAAACCAAGGCGCAAAATAACTGCCCATGAACTGAGAAAAGTCAAGCGTGCAGCTGCCAAGATGCCACTTGCCACCAGTTTGGCCATATTTCAGAGCTGCAACATCACTGGAGTGCCCAAAAGCACAAGGTGTGCAATACTCAGAGACATGGCCAAGGTAAGAAAGGCTGAAAGACGACCACCACTGAACAAGACACACAAGCTGAAACGTCAAGACTGGGCCAAGAAATATCTCAAGACTGTTTTTTCTAAGGTTTTATGGACTGATGAAATGAGAGTGAGTCTTGATGGGCCAGATGGATGGGCCCGTGGCTGGATTGGTAAAGGGCAGAGAGCTCCAGTCCGACTCAGACGCCAGCAAGGTGGAGGTGGAGTACTGGTTTGGGCTGGTATCATCAAAGATGAGCTTGTGGGGCCTTTTCGGGTTGAGGATGGAGTCAAGCTCAACTCCCAGTCCTACTGCCAGTTTCTGGAAGACACCTTCTTCAAGCAGTGGTACAGGAAGAAGTCTGCATCCTTCAAGAAAAACATGATTTTCATGCAGGACAATGCTCCATCACACGCGTCCAAGTACTCCACAGCGTGGCTGGCAAGAAAGGGTATAAAAGAAGAAAAACTAATGACATGGCCTCCTTGTTCACCTGATCTGAACCCCATTGAGAACCTGTGGTCCATCATCAAATGTGAGATTTACAAGGAGGGAAAACAGTACACCTCTCTGAACAGTGTCTGGGAGGCTGTGGTTGCTGCTGCACGCAATGTTGATGGTGAACAGATCAAAACACTGACAGAATCCATGGATGGCAGGCTTTTGAGTGTCCTTGCAAAGAAAGGTGGCTATATTGGTCGCTGATTTGTTTTTGTTTTGTTTTTGAATGTCAGAAATGTATATTTGTGAATGTGGAGATGTTATATTGGTTTCACTGGTAAAAATAAATAATTGAAATGGGTATATATTTGTTTTTTGTTAAGTTGCCTAATAATTATGCACAGTAATAGTCACCTGCACACACAGATATCCCCCTAAAATAGCTAAAACTAAAAACAAACTAAAAACTACTTCCAAAAACATTCAGCTTTGATATTAATGAGTTTTTTGGGTTCATTGAGAACATGGTTGTTGTTCAATAATAAAATTATTCCTCAAAAATACAACTTGCCTAATAATTCTGCACTCCCTGTATAGAAATTTATAGGTATGTAGCTAGTGGTAGTTGGTGTTGGCCACTTACCAGGTATGCTGTGTCTTCTTGAGGCCATGGTATGCTCTGGTCCAGAGATATCCTTAGTTTTCCCATATGGTCCATCATCTAAAGAGAAAAGAGAAACAGAATTGAACTTTAGTATTTTTAAATTTATTTTGGAACAGTTAAAGCTCAATATTTGCTGTGAAGGCAAAAATGATTAGTTTATATCAACCCGAGGATGGTCTAAGGAGCTTGGAAAGAAAAGCGTCTGGACTTCTTTGAGTTGCTTGAAGACGTTTCACCTCTCATCAGAGAAGCTTCTTCAGTTCTAAGGTCAAATGGTGGAGAGTCCCAGATTTAAACCCAGTGGGAGTTTCCCCCCAAAGAGGGACAAAGGACCCCCTGATGATCCTCTACCTAATCACATGAGCCAAGGTGTGAAAGCGGGTGTGGGTCCCAATCAGCCAGGGTTTCGGGTGAGCTCATTGTGAAACCTGGCCCCACCTTATCATGTGATTTCCTGAGGTCAGATGGCCCAGGATGTGAGTGGGCGTTAAGGCGTCTGGGGAGGGATCTCAAAACTGGATTATAGATGGCAGACAGTTGGTGTCGTAAACCACCGCCTCTGTTCAAAGATGGTCGCTCACAGTGGACATAGATGGCTTCTTTCACTCCTCTTTCAAACCATCTGTCCTCTCTGTCCAAAATGTGAACATTGGCATCCTCGAAAGAGTGACCTTTATCCTTAAGATGCAGATGGACTGCTGAGTCTTGTCCTGTGGAGGTGGCTCTTCTATGTTGTGCCATGCGCTTGTGAAGTGGCTGTTTGGTCTCTCCAATGTAGAGGTCTGGGCATTCCTCGCTGCACTGTACAGCATACACCACATTGTTAAGTTTGTGTTTAGGAGTTTTGTCTTTCGGGTGAACCAGTTTTTGTCTGAGTGTGTTGCTGGGTCTGAAGTACACTGGGATGTCGTGCTTGAAGAGAACCCTCCTGAGTTTTAGACTACGATGACCTGGATGACTGAGAACCTTCACAGACGAACCCGAGGATGAATTATCAGGTTTGCTTGGGGTGCACTGTACGTATGGCTATCTGACTCAACAGAAAGTCCTCAACACAAATAATGAAGGACACCACAAACGAATAACTACATAAAAGACCAAAAAATTCCATTTATTAATGGTGCTTATATACTGTAACCATACACCTAAAGACCTGTTTAGAAAAGCAATCATGCTAACACTGTCGGCACCTTTTTAGCTCACTTTCAACACAGGAATCACATTTCATATCTTAACTGACTGTGGTGTCCTCCCAAACTTCTCACATGTGATACTGAATATATGAAATTTGTAGCAACATAATAATACCCCTGCACATTAGTTTATGACCATAAGATGATCACAAAGCTCTTTTGTTTTTGGTTTGGACTTTGTTATTCAGATATATCATTTCATTCACACTCTCATTCACACCTGTACACAGCTTCCGTAAATTGTATTGCTTGTCAGTGATGGTACTGTTGAGTAATGGTTTCTGCTCCCAGTTTCAGTTGACACTGGTCTGAGCATATCTGATGATGATTCTGAGAGGTACAACAAAAATGTCTGATAGCTAATCCATGACTGAGAATGTAAAGACAAGCCTGCAGCACTGCATCTGTTACTTCTATCAATCTTTTTTTTCCTTAAGGATCAAAGGGGTTTCATGCCCCAACTGAACAGATGCAAACACAGTTGGCCTTCCTGCCTTTAGAGCTGCAAATATTCTCTAAATGCTTCTTCGAGGGAATTTTCTCCCTTGTAAGAGTTTTTTTTTTTTTAAAGAAATGCTGTGTAAAATGTTGAAAAAAAACCACCCCACATTTGTAATCTCCGTACTACAACTGAAATTGCATCAGTTTTGCACACTACTATGTGAAGATTACATGTAAGGGAGATTTTCCAGTTACCTACACACTGTCACTTTAACTAACTTTAAGTAGGTTGACACATTGGCAAATACCCAGAAGAGCTGTTGAAGGAAGTCTCCTGCCAGTTTGGACAATGAAACAGAGGCCAACACTATATGTCACATTTGGGGGAACAGATGTCATGCTTTATAGTCTGCGGCAGAGACTTTCTGGCAAATATCTAGAAGACATTTAATATTTTATTTTTTCTTCTGCTCAGATCACCACAGCTTTCTAAAGCTGTTCTTTTTTTGTTCCTAAATTAAAAGCACAGGAGGGAATCTTGTATAGAAACTTAAATTAAATGTCACAATGCCTGCCTGTCTACATACTTGCAGTAACCACTTTCCTTTTTAATTGGGAGGTTCTGCCAATAAAGAAAGTACTTTTTGAATACAATATCAATGATGTGATCATGAATATGAACCAGTTGCACAGCTGCAGTTTCCAGTTTTAATTCCTGTCTAGCTAACAAAGATAATAGTAATTCTGCCTGTAGGTGGTGTCAATGTGCTCTATCTACAAGTGAGCCACCCGCTGACAGCGTGACTGCAACTTTTCTTTTTTATACATATCTGCAAAATTAATTTGGCTCTGCATGAATTGTCCAGGAATGTCTTTCTGCTTTTTATGAAGAAGAACAAAGAGGGGCCAGAAATGATTGCAGATATAACTGAATATCACTAAATATATGTATTTGATGCATCATAATGTCCTTTTGGCACTAGTATCACACAATAATGCAAATAAATCGAAGCTGCTCTTTTCTTTTCTACCATAGAACGAATATAGAGCTTTTGTGTAAGGAATCATTAATTTTTTTTTTACTATAAATCTGCTTTTCCTTTTCAATCTATTATTGAGTACAATTATATTAATGCACATATTTTAAGGACTCATCTATGATATATTAAGGATATTAAGTACTTTGCTAACCCACACTCTTTAACTTAGTTTGACAGCAGCTGCGACAGCAGAGCTGAGCTTGTTGTTGTTGTTGTGACTCTGAAGGGAAAGGATGTGTCCTACTTTACAACCTCTGCTCCATCGGAGGGATGGGATAAGTTTAACAATTCATAAACCACTTCCCAGTTATTTTCATACTCTAATTCAGAAGTTGCATTAAAACCAGGCACAATTATGCCACAGCTTAAACATAAATGTCTTAGACAATTTTCCAAAATAAATGCATATTTGTAATGCTGTTCCAGAGCAACATTTTAAATCAGCTTACTACCATTAGCAGAGTAAGCACTTAAAAAACATTTGTAACAGTACCAAAGAAACCGCAAACGTTAGCTGGCCAGAATTAACGATTGTGTGACATATTACTTTAACAGCCAAATTAACACGGTATTTGCTTTCTATATTTTACTAATATGTCAAGAAATCTCTGTATGTTGTCAGTCTTCACACTGGGCAGGCCTAATGCTAAGGGTCAGAGTAAGTGCTCTAAGTTTTATTTTAATCACCAGAGGCAAAAGTAACATCATGTTCAGACAGTTCAGAAAGTATTCTATATTCAATTCCACCAGGATCAACACATTTTTTTATTGTTGTCACTACATGTTCCTAAATTTATTGACATTCTATGATCTCTGGTTGCCACATTGCTGCTAGTGTCTTCCTGTGTGGTAGCGAGTTTCCTGTGACATCTACCTTCCCTGATACTGACAGGACTAAAAATAGTCCTGTAGGAGTAGGAGCAGAAACACATTTCAGGTAGAAGGATATAAGTACACATAAACCCTTTTTAATCACTACAAGTGTACGCCTGTGAGTGCAGAAACTCCATTCATTTTTAATAGAATTAAAATCTATACATTGGTCTGGCGGTTTGCACAGTTGACTAATGGCTCATTCAGTTTACAACATGAAAGAGCAGAAAGGTTAGGTCAGCATATGAGTTGGTGTGGGGGTTTTTTTTTTATGTGTTTTATGTTTTTGAGCTTGCGTATCTATCCTTTTTCTGTGTCTAAATATCATAATTAGTTACAATGTTTATGTTGTTTATTCAACATATGCATAACTCCTTCACTGTCAAGGCTTTGGCCTTTAAACAAATTGGTGAACTAAATTTTATTGTGTGCCGGGTGGTGGCCAGGAGCGGAGGCCCTGGCGGACCAATCCCCCGCTGCCAATTGGGACATAGAATGTCACCTCTCTGGTGAGTTAGTGCGTGAGGTTGAGAGGTACTGGCTAGATATAGTCGGGCTCACCTCTACACATGGCTTGGGCTCTGGAACCAGTCTCCTGGAGAGGGGCTGGACTCTGTCTCAGTCTGGAGTTTACCCTAATGAGAGGCGGCGGGCTAGGGTGGGTATGCTAATATCCCCTCGGCTTGCTGCTGGTACGTTGGGGTTCTTCCCGGTGGATGAGAGGGTTTGTTCCCTCCGCCTTAGGGTCGGGGAACGGATCCTGACTGTCATCTGCGCTTATGCGCCGAGTGGCAGTTTAGAGTACCTGGGTGGGGTGCTGGAAGGTGCTCCACCCGGAGACTCTGTTGTCCTGCTGGGAGACTTCAATGCTCACGCGGGTAACAACAGCGAGACCTGGAGGGGCGTGTTTGGGAGGATCGGCCTCCCTGATCTGAATCCGAGCGGTGTTTTGTTATTGGACTTCTGTGCAAATCACAGTTTGGCCATAACGAACACCTTGTTCAAACAGAAGAGTGTCCATAAGTGCACGTGGCACCAGGACGCTCTAGGCCGCAGGTCGATGATCAATTTTGTAATCGTATCACCAGACGTGCGACCATATGTTCTGGACACTCGGGTAAAGAGAGGGGCTGAGCTGTCAACTGATCACCACCTGGTGGTGAGTTGGATCAGGTGGCGGGGGAGGATGCTAGACAGACCCGGTGCACTTAAACGTGTAGTAAGCGTGTGCTGGGAACGTCTAGCAGAGGCCCCAGTCCACGAGATCTTCAACGCACACCTCCGGCAGAGCTTCAACAGCATTCCGAGGGATACTGGGGACATTGAGTCCGAATGGACCATGTTCAGCATCTCCATTGCTGAAGCTGCTGCATTGAGCCCCGAACCAAATGGTGGACACCAGAGGTGAAGGGAGCCACCAGGCTGAAGAAGGAGTCCTATCGGGCTTGGTTAGCCTGTGGGACTCCGGAGGCAGCCGACAGGTATCGACAGCCCAAGCGGAACGCAGCTC